TAACTTCTCCCCCTCCCTTCGAACTTAAATATTACCCTTCAATCGCCTTAGACCGCCTACACCCATACCGCTGGGTGTTTTAGGTTTTATTTCTTTTGGTCTTTGGTGTTGTCGTGTGTTAGTGCCTATCACCGGACTGCGGCATCACTAATTAGCAGATATGGATGATGCAATATGCACTGAAGAGGAAGGCAGCTACCCTGACAAAGAGAGGCTCACATAAATACTCCTGACTTTTCTTGCTGCTCCACAGCCATCCTAGCTATGTGGCAGCGCTCTGCCAAGCGGTGCAGATGCCTGAGATAGACACATTGCTTCAAACTGTCATATTCAGCCTATATGGGTCTGGTGATACCCACAGTGGAGAGCAACATTTACTTTCTGTTTGGGTCACAATAATGTTGAACCAATTTGATGCCTTGCATGGAAGTCCCCTTCGTTCTATGAGCCAACATGGCTACACTCATCTGGTTCATAGCCATCTGGCTTCCTTGGGGAAAATCCGGGTAAGGACAGTCAGATCAATGCTCAGCAGTGCATTTCAATGTCACAAGCCTTAGATCTTAGGCAGAGACAAGAGCAAGACATTACTATTGCACAAGACAATGTCAGTCATACTGTCATAGAACCGAGTACGTGTGCCCAATGTATCATGCTGTGACAGATGTGGGCTCAAGTGGGTGTTCCCCTCAGTTATCTGACATGTCGCTGATTTTTCGCTTCCTTCCTTCACCGGTCACCGGTCACCGGTGATATGCACTGACACACAACAACCACCAAGGACCAAAAGAAATAAACCTATCACCAGCGGTATGGGTGGAGGCAGTCCGAGACAACTGAGGGTATTTTAATAGTTCGAGGGGGAAGGAGGAGTAAGACGTCGTAGGGTAGTCTGTAGGAAGACCTAGAAAAACAAAACAAATGCTAGTTGACACTCCGGAGTATTTATCTCCGAAGAGTCGCAATCAAAGTCACAAACAACGACACCTGTCGTAGGATCGTGCTCGCGGGGGTAGAAATTGCTAGAGAGACTTAGTTAATTTTATTTCGCTATGTAGGACGCACCGGAGATAATTAAACCGACGGCGGAGATAAATCACTCGACGAGTCAGACCTATTGGCATAGCTAGGATCAGTTATAATTTGCTAAGTTTGACGCTTTCAAACTTCGAGGGTCGCTGAGATCGTAACACTAATTCTCTGAGATGGTGAAGTGCAAAACTTGTTTTTCTGTATGCTACTTTGTACAATTTATACTACAGGAATGGCTTTGCGACCATCCGGAGATAAATAACAAATAAACACCGCTACCCACAGGGTTGCTCAGCACTTGCCTCCGTTATACCATAGACCATATGACTCCCTTGCGCTCCCACTTGCTCGTTCCAGCCTCTATAGGTCGCCTCGACGCTCCGCCACCTGACCCAAGCGGTCCCATCACTCCGTGCGACGCACCGGTCATGTGCTAATTACCTCCGGCTGCTTGCTGACTGATGCTGACCTCATGGTGACTCGTATATGTCTGCACCTTCGGTATCTTGATGGAAACGAGGGGGAGTGAGTGCTGGAGGGTGGGCATGAGGATGACGCCCCTCGATAGAAGTGTCTGCGGGCACCGGGGCTAATTCATCTAGAAGTTGCATAGGTTAAGTCACCCCGGAGCTCGTGTTTGCTGAGATAAATCACGGAATGGGTCTGTGTACGTCTCGGGGATGCTAGGAAGTCCGGAGCTAAATAGAAAAATTCTTTTAGAGCCCATAGAAGCCTAGAGGCATGTGAGCGATGTGTCGAATAAGCTCCGGAGGGCTTGTACAATGTGCTGAGTCCGTGTTTTCGGGGGTCAGATGATCCTGAGGCTTATCACCGGCCAAGCTCCCAGCAAGACATGGCACTTCTCTACTCCGAGTCGGACGATTCGCGGCGGCTTATGTACTACTAGCAGCCACCCATGCAATACTGCACGGTAGTCATCGGCCAGGAAAGTGTACCGCAAATACATTTACTTATTAACCCTCCATTATTTCTTGTCTCCTCTGAAAGTCTCGATATGGGATGTCAGGGCCACATCGGGCCCAAGAGCTGTGATATGGCCCCTTAGTTATCTGCAACTTGCTATGTATCTATGGCATAAATTGCTGGCCACATTCTGTGATGTGGCCCCTCATTGACTGTAGCAAGCCTCAGAATATTTGATCTCAGTGTCTGACATGCCCCCCCAGCTCCCTTGGCATCACATGACTATAGGATGCTATCATTCCCAGTGTAAGTTCTATAATGCCCATGTGCATGTAAGTTGGGGTACAGGCACAGTGGGCAATAACCGGTGTCCCACCACCGGTCATTCATCTTTCCAGCAAGGGTGGGAGAACACTTTCCTAGGATGCTCCATAGCGGAACATGATACAGACATAAAGAATGAAAGGATGATGTTAATCAAACATCCCCTGATTTTTGGGGACCATAGTAAATGTCCTGCAGACCTTTCTTTGTTCACTCAAAGAACATTCTTCATGTCCAGTTTATGGTCCAGCAAGGACCATTCTAGGGAAGTGTTCTCCCAACCGAAAGATGTTCCTGGCATGCCTGCCGGTGGGACATCAGTCTCTGCCCACAGTGAGGAGCAGTCCAAAGTGGCCACCGGGCTGTGAGCAACAATAAGAGAGCTCATTGAAGAGCCATGGTCCATGGACTGAGAACCAAAAGTGGCATCTGGGGCAAGTCACTGTACCCAGATTCAGCTAACTGGATCTTGGTATTCCCATATCTATGTTCAGTTTCCTAGTACTTCTCAATAGAGGATGAGGGTATCATGTGTTACAATGCAAGGCTGCTATGTGGTCACCTCGGAGTCTCCATGTGAGACATGCAAGATTTTAGGTGGTGTCTCCCAATTTTGTAACTAAAGAAATAGCAAGAACATGTCTGGATGTTTCTGCTGCAGCTTGAACTGCACTTAGACTGGCCCGGCATCTATAATACAAAAGGTGGTTGCCTTTCCCACGGGGGATAAACGCAAAATTGACTTTTATGGCAGTCGGGCTGTGGCTTAATGGATACATGCCCTGCTGCTCAGAGGAGACTGTAATCTGCAGGAAATCTTCTATGAGCTTGATGTAATAGGTTTAGAAAGGATGTGCCATAAGTGCATGTAGTTTAAGTACACAATTGGTTACACAATAAACTGAGCTACCATATATGACTGGAGCAAACAAGGGGGCCACATCACAGCCTTTTGGGCCACGATGTGGCCCCATTATATTGGTATATAGGTGTCCTAACTCGAGTCAGTTGTCACAAAAACAGTGACCGTGCAGTATGCACGGGTAGCTGCTAGTTTCTTGAACAAAGGAGGGGTAAGTTGCCGGCGCCAGACGGCGCTTCTCGAGTTCGTTCTGTATCCGGTAATAAATTAAAAATAGATTTGTATTATATAACACTGCACGTGCGCCCTAGTAAAGGAGGAGCGAGAACTGGGGGTCGGCAACTCCTGCCAGCCGAATGTCCGCGTGACTGTGATTGTCACACTTGCGTCTCGCAATCCGGCCTCGCTACTCATCTCGGGTTGTTTCGCATATTCCTTCGTGGTAGTGAGCTCTACTACAATGATATAGATTGGTTGTCTCAGATACAGGGCTATATGGATAATATCTACAATAAGAAGCACTATTATAGTCTATATAGTGCTCTATGTTAGTAATAAAGCAGTATTCCTCTTCAGAGTCCTCAGACTCAGGCATTACAGCAGCTAGCTGGTAAAGAATTAAAAGGGTAGCCTTCAGAGAATCTCTTGACAGCCTCCAATAGTGCAGTAATCTTTTCAGATCCTATCTTCCGGAATTGAGTCTTCTGTCCTCGAGAACACCCTATCCGGGGCCTTCCCATGACGAGGAAGCCCAGCAGATCAATCAAGCAGCCCAGAATAGCTGCGAGACCGGCCAGAAGTGATGCGTCACCGTAAAAACACGTCCCGACGCGTCGCGACGCGCTCATTCAACGCGTCTCGGCACTTGCCGAGCAGGCTCATTGGGCTGCACGTCGTTGTGGTGCAAATTGTGGATTCCACACAGCACCACAATTCCCAAAACAATCATATAATATTCTTTTATGAACGAAAAATCACATCCTTCCCGTCCTTTTTCCTGATTTGTACTTCGTGTGTGTGTTTCTGGGCTAAATAGCCCCCATAATTGACCGATTTTCTACCTTCAAGGCCAAAATCGCAAAATTGGACGGGAAGAATAGATTCTTCGCTATACAAAAGAATATCTACGATTTGTTTCGCGATTTTACAGTAGTTACTGAGCCCAAAGTTTGCACCGCACGGTGCAAAGGTTTCCTGGCTGGTGTGGCTGAAGCGTGACGCGTGGGTCGGAGTTTAAATTTGGCAGGAGTTGCCGACCCCCACGAGAACGCTAAGGACGGATGGTTTAGGAGCCTGCAGCTACCCGTGCATACTGCACGGTCACTGTTTTTGTGACAACTGACTCGAGTTAGGACACCTATATACCAATATAATGGGGCCACATCGTGGCCCAAAAGGCTGTGATGTGGCCCCCTTGTTTGCTCCAGTCATATATGGTAGCTCAGTTTATTGTGTAACCAATTGTGTACTTAAACTACATGCACTTATGGCACATCCTTTCTAAACCTATTACATCAAGCTCATAGAAGATTTCCTGCAGATTACAGTCTCCTCTGAGCAGCAGGGCATGTATCCATTAAGCCACAGCCCGACTGCCATAAAAGTCAATTTTGCGTTTATCCCCCGTGGGAAAGGCAACCACCTTTTGTATTATAGATAGGTGTGGACTTTTCGCGGCAGGGTCAAAACCAAACTCCAACAATGAACACGCTCGACGTTTAACGGTCTGTGATTATACCTTACATCCTTAAATGCTGTGCCGTCCAAGCAAAATGTAAAGCACACATTCCCCAAGTATCTCCCTCTGGGACCAGGCTAGGCGGTTGCGATGCAGGGCTCCCCTCCCGCCTACCCACTCTCAAGATAACCGAATATCATCAGGGCCGAAGTAGCTTCTCTGCGGTCCCATTGGTGTAGTATATTCTACCTGGTACGCCATCCCAGTGATCTATAGGCCGTCAGAGATTTCCGCCGCCGCCACCAAGATTTATCTCTTACCTTGTTAAGACACTCCAAGAAGCCTACTATGATACCCATAACCCATACGTTTGTGCGGATCCGAACTTGAACTGATTGGTTCTACAATTGCGAGTCAAACAGATTTTTTATCTTCATGACCGGGAAAACGCACCAGCACCTCCAAAAGGTAGGGCCTGTTAGTACTGATCAAGACCTTCCAAAGGGGTACTCACAAGATCTGTCATCGGCTGTATCTTCTTCATTGTTATCGGGGCCATAATGAGGGAAGTGTGGAAGGCGAAGTGTGGGCGTCAGCGCGAGCCCGCTACATGTCTTCAAGATGCAGCTGCGCTGTATTTATGGACAGGTCCTCCGCCGCATTAATGAATATCGGCCCCACGCATTCCCTGCCGTAATGCGATTACGCTGGCTGCATTGTTCTAGTCTAGGAATTGCAAGAAACTCGGACCAATACAGGTTATCGCGCTATCCACCGATCTAGCACATCCAAGATCGGTACGACGCTCCACAAATGGCACCTGGTATCTGAACTTCGTGTGTGGAAGAACAGAAGCACGTCTGGTTTACGGATATGGTGCGGGGTTCAAGTCCGTCCGCGGTGCGTGGGAGGTCGACAGGAAGGTAACGTGTATGCGGCGAGGCAACTGAAGACGTGCCGTCCAACTTGGTCCTGCTGCGGTCAGCAAGAGGGACCAACATCCTGTCCGAGACTCTATCCTCTGATCTATATTTTAAGATATTATTCCTGGACATGAGTCGTGCCCCAGTATCGGCGAAGATTGGACTCTTAGAATCTTACCTTGGGCACGGCACCTATATTGATACGAATCCATCTCGGTGATTCAGGGACTCGTCCCCGTTTTCCTCACAAACATATCACACCGGAGAGCCGGCGCCTCCGAGTCAAGGGTGGGTTTTCGATGCTCGCTGTTCTTTGATTCTGCCAAACTTTCTATCCATAGACGCTGGGTAAGATGTCTGGTTGATGCTCCGCCTTGTATGGCGGCTCATCTCCCGCGGTGATGCCTCGACTGTCAGCTTAGGGACGCTAACGTGAGGCAATGTGTGTTCTCTTTGGGCTATGGCCGGCTGCTCATCCTTAGTCTCCGATTCGGTGTGCCCCGCTTGCCTATTATGCTTCTTACGCCTGCAGAAGGTCCGGCAAGGAGGGATCAGGTATCTCAACTATGGCCAGACTCCACGGCGGTAGCATCTTCCTGACATCTTTATACATAGATTGAGCCAAGTTCACCAGAAATCCGCGCAGTTTGTGTCTGGGTCTAATAATACCTCATTCAGATTCATGTCCTGGAGCGCTCCGATAGGTATTTACGTCTGGTAATATGCTGCTCACCTTCAACGCAGTACAACAGCCCCAGTTATATGTTATAACCTGTACAACAAGTTGTCCTCGACAAACCCGACGACCCTTGCTCTTCCTTGCCTTTCTTTGGGCTAACTGCGTTCCCAACAGATGCTGAGTACCATGTCTGGCTTGAGGCACGCCGGCTCCATAAGGTGTCTGGTGTGTAGGAGTGTCTCTACTTTTACCGGGCCTTCAAGCGGACGTAAGTTTCTCCATATGCATCTGGGATTCTACCGATCGATGCAAGGTCTGTGTGCTCTATGCTCCAGAGTCCGGGTCAAACCAATTGAGGCGCTTATCACTCGATTGTTCCTGCTGGGAGATGCTAGAAGGTGTCCGAAAACGGGCGTCTCCCAGCGACGTGCTGCGACGCGCTTGCTATGATGAACTGAGTCAAGTCACGTCAAGCTTGCTTCCCTTCTTCAAGGGCCGGACACGTTTTGTTCCTTGGGGGAAGTCAAGCCAATCAGCGCCTCTTTGCGACACAAGGGCTGCTTTAGCGGTCATACACCGGTTCCCCTAGTTGGCACAGTTCTCAGTGAACACCTGGACCTACTGCACGTTGGCTTCTTCTACGATACCAGAGGCGTCCGCGTCACCGCTAAGCCACTAGGGTCCGGCCGTGGCTTAACAGCTGCTCGTCGCGCGCACCTGCTCCGACGGTTTCAGGATCTTGTGAAGCCTCCTGCCATAGTTCCCTAGGGTGTGGCTGCTTTATTATACGGATCCGAGGTACTCGGCGTCCCACTGACGCCAGAATATGAATAGTGGAAGCTGGTGGAAATTCCAATGACGTTAGGACCATTGGGTTCCACAGACACAATCGGCGGGATTGGCGAGTGCAGCGGAGCGCCGGCTTTGGTACAATGTTTGGAATGGATAGTCACTGCTTTCTCGTGAAACGTATACGAGGCTTCGTAAATCAGGCATTGGTACGTCTGGGTACTAACTACACATCGACATCGTCAGCGCATGGTCTTCACATTCTAGGTCTTATGTCTCCCATCTCGAACCGCCCGCATTCACGCCCAGCGGGGGTACGGTATTCCACTTCGTAAGACATGCCAGTCGCCTCCAAGGAGCATTAAGTTGTTGTCCATGGGAGCAGAATCGACTTACCTTATTTATTAGTTTGCAGAAGCCGATGATAATGCCCATGACCCAAACATTGGCTTTGATACGGACTTCGACATCTTGGTCCTGGCCGGACATATAAGTATGATATGGCCAGTGAATGCGCAAAAGACTGTGATTTGAAAGTCACTATCACCTATGCATTCATATATGACATGACGCTGTAGGCACAACCAAGGTAGTAAGTGCTCGGAAGACTCACGTAACGGGCGAGGAAGGGGACATCAGTGGGACGCTTAGACAACGTGAACATGTTGCTGGTATAGTCCATGATAGTGCCTTTATAAATCTGTCGTGCCCTTCCAGATAGCCTATGCTACCACAGTATTTGTTATTGACTTACTGAAGTAAGCGGAGTCCGTTTAGCGACGACACAGCATACACACCGGAGGCTCATCCAACAGCCCATAGTATCTTGATAACGGCCACCGAATTGCGTCTATGGGGATCTCCGTAAAAGTAGTCTAGAGGAATTATAGAATGTAAAGAAGCTCGAGATCAGTGGGGCCGCCTTCAATCAAACGGCGGAGATGGTCGACCAGGCAATAGCTTGATGTACCCCAGGAGCATTGCGAATGAACAAAGACAGCTGATTCGCACGTTTGATGTCCGATTTTCAGGCGTTCATCCCATGCAGAATGGCACCTTGGAAGGCCTCCGGACGATCTTGCGGTCCTGACCCAGCAAGGAGTCGGACGGTGGTCCACGAAATTACAAGTGTCACAGTGTTATGGAATATCATTGGAGCCTGAGTTGTGGGAGAGGACTTCTAATCTATGCTAGGATGGGTATGTGCTGCCGTAAGCGTGCATAGGAAAATGGCATGATACCCTGAACCATGATATGTATTATTCACTCAGTGTCGGGTTATCCTCGCAAATATCACGACTTCACCTGAGGATACGCCTGTGGCTTCCTACAGAAAATGCCCTGTCTAAGGCTCTGAAAGAATTGGATAGAGACTTGCCTAGTCCTATGAGTATGAATTTCACTCAAAGTGAAGCCAGTCGATTCATGTTGAAGCCCTAACTTGAAGGTAAATGTGGCAAATGGCACGTGACGCCTTCGCGCTCAGCACTCGTGCAGCATCCTATATGATCCTTTATCCGACTCTAATACTTCGTCTGTGCATAGCGGCCCTCAGACTGTTTCGGCTTTGTGAGGGCAGGGTCACAGGAGTCCAGCGATGTCGAATCAACTGTCTATACCGTTCAAGAAGACTTATAACGTTCCATTGAAGCAAGCGGCACGCGACTATATATACTCCAGGCATACAGACACACACCCCGATGCATTCAAGTGGGACTTGAATGAGTGGGACACATCAAGAAAAGAAGGCGTTGGTGGTATTGTTCGTGTTGATCGCATTGATCCAGCTGTGCGGTGCGTCGAGAGCCCGCTGTTCTACCAGCCGCGTACTAAAAAGCAAGCAGGTATCATGCACAGCTTGTGTTCATCCTAACCAAACTACCAGTTGACGTTGGTCCATACTTGCGCCCCTTCCTACGTTGCGAGCTCATACAAGCCACTTGTCAGATCGGCTTGGAGATCCCATATGCACCTGCATTTTCTCCTTCTTCCTTGCCCATAACGTTAAAGAACCTTGCATATGAACGGGCGGCAGTCGTCTTTAACCTAGGGGCATTGTATTCTCAATTAGCTTCCTCCGAAGACAGATCCAATGCCGAAGGCATCAAACGTGCTTTGGCCCACTATCAGGTGAGTGGGATCTTTTAGCGCTTGGCAAGGTTATGGAGAACCTGGTCGAGTAATGACAGCGGAATAGAATGCCGCTGGAACCTTCGCCTTCTTAGCCTCTTCGGCAGTTCCACCTCTTCGAAATACCCTTCGAGAAGAGGAACAGTTGCCTCTCGACTTGACTGAAGCGTTCGTCAAGAGTCTTGAGTCACTGATGTTAGCTCAAGCTCAGGAATGCACATGGCAAAGAGCAAAACTAGGTATGGAATGCTGTCGGTCCTGACTCCCTGATACCGACCGATAGTAGACAATTATAAGAACGGCGTAATTGCTAAGTTAGCTGCCAAGGTTGGGGTTTGGGCTGCTTCCGTCATCACCAGCTTGAGCCAATGTCGATCCGTAGGTCGCATACTTCTACGAAGAAGCCGTCACAGCCATCCGGGAGGCCTCACCCGCCATTAAGCACGCTTTTCCATCGGTATCTACTTCTAATCACCGTGCTTATCTCAGCGCTGACTCTGGCGGAACAGACCTGGATACCTCACTGTGAGGCCAAGAGATATCACTTCGAGGCCGTGGCACAGTATAGAAAAAGCGTTGATGATTTGGAAGTCTCCAGGTCTGTGTTACTCTACTATTCGGGCCAATACGAGGTCCCTGAGGCATGCCGGGACTCAGATATGGACACGAGCTGTCGCGCTTGAACCAAGCGAGCATGTTAGCCAAAAAGGGCTACGACATTGCCAGACGTGCTGGGATTGCTCCAGCGGTTGTGCAGGACGTCAAAGTGCGTCCAATATAGCCCCTTTATTAAGCGTCGTGACTTACATAACCCAGTCCTTGTTAGATGAAGTCCAGAAGAATATCGCGCGAGCGGAACGAGATAACGATCTGATCTATCATCAAGACGTGCCTGCCCCGTCTGCCTTGCCTGTAATAGCCGGAGCAGCGCTCGTCGGTAGTAATACACCGACCGGTCTATTACAACCTTCAACTGTTATTGGTGATGGTGGTGTCATCTTCGGAGAGCTTCTTGCTTGGGGTGCCCGTGAAGCAGTAGGTGAGCACGTATGCAGATTGGTCTCCTGACGATAGATTTACCGGATGTACAGACATCTATCAGAATCGCAAGGAAGAAACGCTGAAAGATGGCGTATTCGACCGAGCGCAGGAACTCGACGATAAAGCTCGAGAGTGAGAGGCCTTGCTTCTGCTGTCCTTGCCCCATAACTGATGTACGCTGCAGGACCTTACGCACACTGAACTTGCCTGCAGCTCTTGAGGCACTGGAGAAGCCTGTAGGACTGCCACCAAGCTTACTAAAGAAATCAGAAGAAGTGCGACTTGCTGACGGTCCGGCTTGGATTGAAACGTCTGTCGAGGCAGTAAAGAGGTTGGCAGCACGCAATACCGAAGTCTTGAACGAAGTCAGCGAGGTTTCATGCAACTTGCGAGGTTTCTGCTGATGATTCTTGTCGCGTAGGCTCTAGATATCCTCGATCAGGAAGCTGAAGAAGACGAAGACTTCCAGCGAGATAATCCCAGCATACGGCCCCCATCCCACGAAGCCAATAAGGACCTTATTAGTAAGGCGGATCGTTACCGAGCTATCTTATCGCAGGCCGTGGAAAGTGATGAAGTTGTGCGCCGCAAGTGGGATGACTGGGAGAGGAACATTATTGAACTCACTTGGGATAAGGTTCGTTAGTCGCTGGTGTTGAGTGGATCAAACTGAGGTCGATTGGGCTGTAGGAAGATTTGGAGGCGTCGATCCCGTCAAGCACCGGACGCGCGGCAACTTCGAATCAGACGCAGGCGAATGCAAGAGCTCTAAGGGTCTTATTGGAAAACTTGGACGATGTAATACGTACCCGGTCTCAGCTTGTAGAGAGAGCCCGGAGACTTGCTGAAGCCGATGACATCAAACCCAGAATACTCAAGGTCGCTGGGAACATTGCGCAATGGAAAGAAGTGACTCCAGCAATGTTCGAGAACGATTTTGACGAAGAACTGGCGAAGTACGAGAAGTTCCGGCAGGGCATTGACGACGCAGAGAAGCAACAACAAGAGCTGTTAACAGCTATCAAGGTCTGATCCTCTTCTGACAAGTAGCATTGTCAATGACTCTGACACGTGCCGTCAGGCTCGGAACGACTCGTTCCTGCAGTCTCGCAGAGAAGACCCGAATGTCAAGGAGAGAGAGCATGCCCTGCAGTCTCTTGACTTGGCATATCACAAGTATAGAGAAATCAGAAGGAACCTTGAAGAGGGCATACAAGTTAGGTGGAACGTAAGAATATTCGGTGTTCCGTGTTGACATTGCTCTAGTTTTACAATGACCTGGCTGGTATGCTGGCCGAATTTAGGGAGAGCTGTAAGGAGTGGGCCAGACGACGACGACATGAAGCTCGGTATGTGCACCGTCTCCTTAGTTCTATCATGAAGTCATACCTTCTCTGCTGGATAGATCAATCGTGCAATCGATGAGTTCTCTGTCAATCGGGGCACCATCCCCGGAGCAGCGGGATGACCATGTCACCACTAATAGTGAAATATCACCGTTGCCTTCACATGATGCGCACCCTCCCTTGTCACCTGTGCCGTCACGAAAGGGACCAGCCGCTCCCTTCAACTTGCCTCCTCCAGATTCAGGCGATTGGGAAGAGATGGATTTGCCGCCCGGTCCGCCAGTACCTTCGACACCCAGGACTAGGAGGGGAGGGAAGCGTAATAAGTAATCGCGCGAATGGGTTAATAGAAGCTGTATCACACAACAGGGTTTGCTGCTTCATTGGCTACATCTCGGATATCCTAAGTCTGTACAAATCGGCCGCCGCTACCTGGGTTATGTCCATGTTTATCCGGATCCTGTGCCAGCTGTGCCCAAGTTGTCTCCCTTGGATCGCGTCTGCGCTTTCGATGCTTTTCTCTTCTTCTTATCCTGCGGGGCTGTGATAACTATACACAACCTGCACTGCTGAAGCTTTCCGACCGAGCAGTACTATTGGGCATAGCCTTGAGCTTGCAGCGGCAGTGTCGCAAAGACTTATATAACTTGCAAGTGCAAGCGTATGCTCTAATCACTCCCATTGACCAGCATGTCTCCTCGTCCTCGCCGTCGCAGCGTCGACTCGTCTTCTTCATCTTCGTCTTCTGACAGTGATTCCGGCTATAAACCGAAGAAGGATAAGCATCACCGCGCTGGTCATGCCGCGTTCCCGACTCCTGTGCACCACCCATCAGGGCATATTCCCTCGCCTGGCTTCCCATTACCGGGCGTCAGTAGGGGCAACCAGCACGCTCAGAATCCCATGGCGAGTGAATCTGACAGACCGCAGTTTCCTGTCGGTGGGGAACACCGCGCCAGCGAGCACCCGCCTCCGTACAGTGCACCAGCGCCTCCGCCGTCTGGATATCGATTACCTTTAACGACCACTTCCGCATTTCCTCCCTTGGAGCAGGCAGGACGCCCACCGTGCTTTGATGCAGATGGGCAATCTCCTGTGTTTCTCGGATCCGCGCTCTTCCCGAACTCGGTCCATCCCTGCAAGATCGTGCCTAGCCTCAATCCTCCCTGTCGCGTGCCCTACGGAGGCGGGGAGCATGAGCACAATGGCCGGTACGATTTGCTGCCGTTCACTCCCGAGACCATGGAATGGGTCCCGACTTCACATGGTCGGATTCCTGACGGGCGGAGGCCTGTAGAAGGAGGGTACGAAGAGCACGGGGCCAAGCTGTATCACGCCCTTGCTCAGGTCAGTGGCATTCATGTACCAGGGAAGACTGGGGAGCATCTTGTACGTGCCATTGACCACCTCGCAATCATCTTTTCATAAACTGAGAAAAAACACAGGGAGGCTGTAATGTAGCATTTGGCGGAGCTGAGCATACCATTCGGGAGAACTATGCTATTCTGTATGTCGATTTAACTGCGAGTCGTCTATAATGCTCACCGATATTCTCTAGCTGCTGGAAGTGAAGGGCAATGACTGATCTGTAATATTCGTTTGTAACAAGTGGCCGTCAACGTTGTACGTTTGATCTGTCTTATCATATTACCGTCGTCCTATGGAAAGCAGTAAGCTCTGTTTGTTGGGCACTAGATTTTCCATGCACGTAATTGTGCAGCAGTGTCTTCCAAGGAGACTCCATTTGAAGGATCCGTACATGCGAGCGTGATGGGCTGCCTATGCAAGGAGAATTCATGTATGAAGGCGGTTCCGTTTTATCCCCTCGAGCGTCCCGAGCAGTTCAACGATGCCGTTAACACTACGGACTGTCGTACGTTGCCTTGCAGAATGATATATTGGACCCAGACGCAGGGCTGCCTAGCAGTTTCCCAATTAAATATATGTATAAATCCCTTGTAGACATTCTGTTGTGTCCTTCGGTAGCTCAGTTGGAAGAGCGCAAGACTGTAATGGCGGAATTTCCTGCGTAATCTTCATTTACGAAATCTTGATGTCGCTGGTTCGATCCCGGCCCGAAGGATTTGTTTTGGCTTCATGCCCTTTTGCAGCAATCTTCCAGATAATCCTTTCCCGAGAAATGAGGAGGCATGAAGTTTGTTGGCTATTGTGATATCGGTCTCACCGTAGATGATGGCAGCAGCACCGCCGTTTTAGCCCCGCAATATGCTGGATCGTGTGGTAGCAGGCAAATGAATCCAAATTACATTTAGCACATTACGGTAGATAGTCAAAGCAAAGTCCAACCTGAAGCATAGTCTATGAACGCGTCTCGACGATAATGTTAGTAGCCATGATTGTGGTATAGAACAATATCAGGAATATGCCCCATCTCCTCGTAAGGTAGAATCCGTTCCATGGGACGAACACTAGAGTGGACACCAACATAGCCAGGAGGCCTCCAGAGCTCACTAGCAGCGTCTTTGAGAAGTGCAGGTCGTATGGTCGTTGCCTCTGATTGATGATATAGGACCCGGAGACTCCAACGCCTAGGAGCATGTTCAGCATAGGTCCGCCAAAGCATGCGGAGAATCCCATGATAGGCGCAAAGACCTAGTGTGACAGCGCATGAGCATCTCCCCCCACGATTATGAGACATGGCGCTTACAGCTACGCTCATGTTTGCGACCAAATCAGCAAGTGAATTGCCAACAGCGAATATGGTCAGCCCTATGATGGCGTCCGATAGTCCGAAGATGAAGCCGAACGTCTGGAAACTGTCTCAGCAGGATTGTACGCAGGGAGGCAGAGTCCCACCTACCCGGAGTACGTTCACTACTTCATCAGCGATAGCCATGATCCAAACCACAGCCACGAAAAAGCCCATCATGCAACGCGTCAGGCGAGCGGTGGGATGCTCTCCCCTGTCAGCGAAAACCGCCACCAGCGCTGCACAGGCCAAACCTGCAACACCCGCGGCCATCAGGAGCCAGAGTTGCTGATCTGCACCATCTGGGTAGCGTATGGACTCAGCTATCCTCGGCCACTTGCACGTGAAGATCAGGTATACCTACTGAAGAGAACACCGACACAGAACAAGGGCGCACAGACGCACTGCGCAGCCATCAACCACTTGTTGAACTTGAGCTCGTGCATTTCCTCCTGCACTTCCTCCTCCGCAATGAGCGTTCTTTCAATACCTTCTTCCTCAAAGTCCAGTAGTCTCGAATCACTGGCAAGCGCCTTCTCTTGCGTATGACTATCCTCGTAAGGCGTTACGATGACAGGCAATGTCACAGTCAGAGCCATGACAGCTGGCGCAGCGAATAAAGCCGCCACCTTCCCTATGAACGTCTTGGACCTGAAGTGATGTAAAGTGGGGAAAAGGATATGGTATGCCCGTCCGAGAATATGCCAGATGCGTTCACGACCAATAGGCGGGCCACGGTGCTGAGACTCTGTATCTGCTTCCGAAGTCGGAGAGGCGGGCGTATGGGAGATTACAGGCACTGGACTCTGAGCACCGTCGGGCAGAGGCAGAGACGTATCAGAGTACATTCCACGTCCATTCAGCTCGGGCGAGCGCTCGTTCAGCGGCATGCCCAGCGCAGAATCCCATGGATTGGTTTCATGATCGTGGTCCAGTAGGATAGGAGTGCGCAGAGGAGTGCGAGGTCGCGATCTGGGCTGGCTGTAATAGCGGCCGCCGACGTACGGCGTGACCGGGTTCTCGAATATGTTGAGAGACGGACTCGCTGCCTGGTGTTGCAGAGACGAGACTACCTGCCGGAACTCTAGAGCTCCAATCAGTGAGAACGAAGGCATCTGACTCAGGCGTGGAGATGGCGACTGTGACCGCGACTGTGATCGTTGGGGAAGGTCAGTATGCAGGCCTAGCCGAGGGGGCCCTGGTTGAGATATTGCTCGTGGTCGCGTGAAAGTTGGTACCGACAGCGAGTTTGTGCTGCGCTCGGGGGATGGGGACGCTTCACAGCGTTTAGTACAAATCCAGTCCGAGTACATTTGGCACTCACGATCATCACGGTATGGCTGTTCATCATAGTACGGCATTTGTGGTATTTCGTCCTCTCGATACTCGGAACGTATCAAGGCTTCCTTCATGCGCCTGTGCGCACGCCGTCTCTCCCACCAGGTCCCTATCACCACAAGAGTTACATACGCAATGTACAAACCAACGAGGCAGCCGGCCTCCCAAGCCCGAAGCGTTCCGTCATGCAAGATGACAATGAGCAGGGTAACCGCAATAGTGAAGAATCCGACATCTCGCAGGAATGGGTATCGCTCCACCTGGAACGGCTTGATGATGCACATGGATCCTACCACGCACGAGACTATGAACGACGCCGCACCGAGCAGTTCACCGATCGCCAGACTGCCTGAGTTCGAGCGCATCGCGGAGTAGGTAGAGAACATATCTGGGCTGCCGTTTCCAAAGGCCAAGAATGTGACGCCCGCCACATTCTCATCCAGTCCCAGAAGCTGCGCTATAGTGGCAAGATTAGGACAGAAGAAGTCGGATGCGCTTATTCCAAGCGTCGAGAACAAAAAGACGAGCCATAGGAGCAACCCAACGAAGATGAAGGGCCGTATAGCCAGTGATGAGCAAAAGTACGATTCCAAGTACTGGATTGAAAGGAAAGTGTCGGAGTCGGGGCACACCGTCTTGACATGTGTGCATTGCTCCTCCAGCGGAATCACTCGCGGGAAACACTGATCGACACCAATCATTCACAACTCGTGCAGTTCGGATAAACCATGTATACTTACCTGGTCGCCGTAACCGTCACCATTGAAATTCCAGCTTAAGTCGGACGAGTTGTACGCCGCAACATCCCGCTTCAGCAGTGTCCGGCCCAGAAAATTGCCTGGTCGCGCCCCGGAAGTCTGTCCGTACCGACTCTGAGCGAACAGTAGGCAGTTGACGACGAGCAGGATCACGAGTGTAAGTCTATGTGCACCAGGAGAGCCCATGAAATGAGATGGGGGGACGGAGAGTCGGTCATGCCAAGGAGTCCTGAAGCCGAAGGCCTATGTAAGAGAGCGGCCACGTGCGGTGACGCGCTTTATTAACCGGCGTGTATCCATTCATCTCATCGCAACCCCTCATTCACGAGGAGGACGATTGATGCTCACAGCGCACATGTTTATGGAAGATAAGTGATACAGTTACAGACCGGGCTTCGACAATGCGGGGTACATGAGCGTACATACTCAGCGAAGGTGTCTGATGTAGGCTCTATCAGGGCAATGACGGCTCTCGGTATTTGAAAGGCGTGGCCTGCACATTGATGCATGAGTTGAACAGGTTGTATAGACCTCGACGAATGCAACATACGGAGTCCAGGCGGTCCACGTCATCCGTATCTGTTCTTGCGCATTCCGAAGAGGAAGCTTCGGTCTGCGGGATCTTCCAGGGGAACAAGGTCCTCCAGACTTATCCACGTTAAAACGGCTCACGCTGTGCTTACCCTTACGAGGTTTTGTGATCTTGAAGCGTCTTCCGTGTCCACGGTCTGCAGTGTGGGCGCCATCCTGAAGCTGACAGTGGTGGCAGTGGTAGCGTCTAGTTCCAGATCGTGCGCCTTGCCCTTCAAGGACTTGCGGCTGTTCAGAGTCGCGAGTAGTGAGTTGGCATATACTGCGGAACAGTTATGAGCTGCGATTCTAAGCCCGACGACAGCACTAACGTTTCCCTATGACAAAGTCTATGGCCAGAAACCAGAAATCTTTGGGATTCACCGCGAACTGGGCCCGGCGATATCAGCCAACACCTAGGTCACCTGTGGTGCGAGAGCCACTTACGACAACAATCTCCACGATGGCAAGGATACTAAATATCACGGTGACCTATTGTGCTCGGCTTGCAACAATGTACATACCAGGTAAGCAAGCAGCGGTTTATAGCCCATTTGATGAGCTGGTTGATCAGTTCATTCGTACTATATGCCGGGCTGAGCTGTGTACACGGTTCACTGCTCAACGCTTACGACTCACTCTCGAAATTGGGACCGTTCGTGCCACAGCAGCCCGCATAACGCGCCCGCGACGAGGATATCGGATAAAACAGCAAGCAGGGCGAAGGGCAGAGCGCTGTTAAGCTGAGTACGGGCCGCATTCATTAAAACGACTATCTTTCCTGGCAATGCCAGCACTTACTGTGATCTCAGATATCCGGCTTAGCTTTTTCTTGATAAATCTGACGGTGGTTTAGCTTCTGTGGGGTATGCAAAACGTTCTGAGCGAACGTACAACTCTGCCACTGTTTCTGCACATTGATTTACGAAGTCAGAACCTTCGCGGGTCCAGAGTGCGTGCAAGCGTTACCTATGCCAAAAGCTGTTTCGCGAATGAGTACTGCACCGCTTCGCAGTCGCAAGGACCTACCAAAATGTCCTGCCACTAAGAATGCCTTGAAGGCGCGTCGTGAACCCTGTCATTCTTCAATTCCCCAAGGGATCATAAGACTTACCGTTATGGTTGTCAGACTCCTTTGCAACCTAGGCCCTCGTGACCTGCTCACTGAACAAGATCAGCTTTGGATATCTCCCGCCACTGAATTTCTAAACGCACAGTCGTATATGCGCTTCGTGAAGAAGCTGAAATATGGGTGATTGTCAAAGACCACAATACCCGCACGGTGCGATGAGTGCCCACCTTTGGACAACGACTGCTATTAGTACCTAGATAGCCCCTGCATCAGCACACTATCGAGGGTAAGAAGATAGAACCGGGTGGCGATATCGACTAGCGGTGTATCTGATGGTATCGGCTGTGACTTACATTAAGGCCAACTGATGTCTTGTGGAAGTGAGTACGCTTTGACAGGCGATCACGGAAAGTTGAACACGAACATATAATGACCTAGCAGTTTCAGCAAAAGATGTCCCAGACAGCACGGATACACTCACCATGTGCCGTTCTGGAGAGCCAGTGGGTTCGCATAATTGGTGATCTAAACATGGGAGCGTAAGCTTGTGAGCGCTGAGCTTATCACATAAGCGCCCGCCGGTCATACGTACGAGATAATGGTACATTGCATGAGAAACTGGTGTCGTCTGAACTCACTATACCTGCACGAGGGACATGTGGTGCTTACTGAGGATAACGTGTAGCGTGTCCAGCGCCCTATATAATATAAGGTCCGTAATCTTGAGGACGACATGGACGCAGGGATTAGCATACCATAGCGATGTTACCTGCATTACGATTCAGTGCACACTCTTGTCTGATCCTTCCAACCAAGTGGACTCACGAGGAGTTTCGTGCCACCACCGTCTCTGGGATAACTTAGAAAATAAAAATAGGCCTAGCCAGCATTGTTCAATGTCTGATCCCCCCACCAATCTAAGCCCAATCAAATCTATACCTGGAGCGTCGTAATCCCATAGAGTCTGGTCCGAGGTATATTAGTCCGGAATTGCGAGGCCTTCATCCAAGCGTAATAGACTCACATAAGTGCTGCCATTGATCCTACATATGCCGCCCCTGGGAGTGCTCTCGTCTCTCGTGTTGCGCCTGATGCATCTCACAATCTACTCACCGAATGTGGGTCCCAAGTCGAGATCCATGTTCTTCGGGAGGGGCGGGGGATCCAAAGCGTTCTTGAGACTTCTATGGCCGCTGTCCGCCGCAGACCGTTGTAAATGAAGAAGCCAGGAGAATTCGGAAGACGAACACCCTTCTTCAAATTCTTGCTGCTTCAAGTTCCCATCAGCTTCTGAGCATCAGCCGAATGACAGCGCCACAGCAGCGGCAGATTTGATTCGGTACAAGTGGCTGTGCCTCTCCAATCTGCCGCTAATGAACTGTAGTACATAGACAAGCGGTATAAATATGTTATTCTTTCCTACAAGCTACACAGACTGAATACAACATTGATTCTCTCTGCCTTTTATTGGTGTTCAGGGCTCAAGGCAAGTAAGAAACATCGACTTTGCCTTGATGGAGGGCGGGCTACGTCGGAGGTGAGCCAGATCACCGCACATACAAAGTGGCAAACGCTTACGATAGTCGCACTCTCATTATCAGACCTAGCTCCTGAAGGTGCGATACTCGTAGCAGGGAAGGAAGACAGCTGAAGGCGGAGGTCGCGTAAGTATCGAGACAGGTATAGGGATCATGATACAGGGTACCCACTTGCACGACGTTTTTACTATCGACGTCTATGCCATGAATATTATTTTGACCTAGATCCGACAGTCAGAGGTTCAAATCCATCAACTGAAGCGATTCTCGGCTTACCTGTTGTTCTGATGGAATCCCGGCTGTTCAGAGTCGCTAAAAGTGAGTTGCAATACACTAGGAAAGGCTATCAACTTTCGCTTGGTCATACCAGAGGCGCCTCACATTTGCCTATGACGAAATCAATGGAAATAAACCAAAGTTGCGACGGCGTGACACAGAACTAAGCGCGGGCGTGGGTGATGAATGATGCTAGAGATAATCAGCACAAATGAGGAGCTCACCACAATTGTCTCCGCAACTGCGACAGCTCTAAAATGCCCCATCTATCAGGATAACCAAAAAAATTGACTATTCCGAACGTACGCGGTCAGCAAGCAGCGGTTAACAGCCCAAAGCATCAGGCGGTTGATGATCATATTCGTGCTGTCGACGCACGGGTGAGCGGATATCAAAACAGGGAGCGAAACCTTACGATCTAAGTTCACTCCTACTATTCCATAACAATGCGCAGAGAGAAGCAGCCACTAGGATATCCGACATCACCGCGAATATGCTGAAGGGCAATACAGTCTTCAACTGGAAAATATGTGTACGTCAAGGTGCTGCTTGTTAAAGAAGACTGATAACTCTTACGCCTATCTGAGAAATCGCAGCAAGGTCCGGTTGCACTGCACTGTAACAGATGGTCGGTCGGATTAACATCACTGGAAGCTGTGTTGCTCTTACAACTTTACGACAGTATCTGCAATCGAGATACGTCAATCCGAGAGTAGGCCGAAGGTGAGCCAGGCTACTCACCGACCCCGAAACCTACACTCAGAAAGTAGTTATGAGCTCCGTCCCATTGGATCACAGTGGAACCTTCTCACAGAAGTGCAGAATGACGAAAATGGTCTGTGGTGGGTGCCTGCGTAAGGACGCTTCAGAACGCTTGAGAGGTGTTCTGGCGACTCACCACTAATGTTGTCAACCAGTGCTTCGTGCGGGGGCCACTCACTGTAATTAAACCAGTAAGTGCTGCGTGTAGAATAGGTATGACCGACAGTTACAGTGATAAATACGCATGGTGAAGAAGCTATCAGAGGCATGGTGAGAAACCGACAGTAGACGGAGTCGCTGAGAACGCACATTTGAACTGCGCATGCAATGACCACCTGAATGTAATGCGATAAGCGGCGTCGTATTAGCACTTTTTATATCCTAGTGCTCACGTTTGCAGCGACTGAGGCCTAGCCACGACTCTGAGTTTTTGCTGTCGCAGATGTACCAATAATTACGCACATATAGAGACCTGCGTGAACGTCTCAGTTAGAGACGCCTTTCTACATATGATACTCATGCTCACCAGACACCTGACAATAATGCGATGGGATTGAAATAGTTTGTCACCTACATAGGAATCAACGTGAACAACTACTCCGGGGAAAGCCACACATGGATCTTACAAGATAGTGATATATGACGTGACAGACTGCAGAGGTGTCAGCACAGAATTCTGGGGGCAGAAGCCACTAGGTCTTCATACCGAGGACAATGTGCAGACTGTCGAGCAAGCTATATGATACCTGTGAGTCGGTTGTGGGTGGCCATTAAATCGAGCAGACCATAGAGATGCCACCTATTGTGGCTTTGCGTCAGATGTCGTGAAAAGGGCAAGAGCAACCACTCACGAGTAACTTGAAAGCCGGGCTGTCTTTTGGATACTGCAGGAAGTAGAAATAGGTCTATATGGATATGAACATTAGCAAGGGTGTCTGCATTATGGACGACCCGCGAACCCACCTGAAGCACGGTGATGCCGTAGAGACTAAGGGACGGTATCACTGGGAAGGCTTCTACAAGAGGACGATGAAGACACTTACATGAGGGTGGCCATGGCTCCCATGGTAGCAGCGCCTGAGGTTGAGTACAGTCGGACTATTGTCATGTCCCATCAGCACAGAAGGCATACCATAGGTATTGGTGAGGTCCAACGGTCCAGACATGGTAAGCAGTTCCGGGCACAATCGACCTAGAGGAGACCTGTAGAGTCGGATACCGATATTGAATACATCCTCCGTTCGTATATATACCTATGGACCAGAGTTCAGTCACCTGGCACGGCTTCGAGCCATGATTGATCTTGATGCATTGAGCTACATTTCGATCCCTTCAGAGCGGTGCAATGATGTTGGGCTCATAGACTGCCAGGTCTTTGGACGGCCTGTCTATTCTTAGAGACTCCGGTGAGAATCTGCATTGCACCTTGCAGCAGCGATTCCGGTGTCAGCGGGCACCGGCACGTTTCGCAGGGAAAGTGTCACAACATCGGACCGTCTTGGGAGCATCGAGGTGATACAGGTGGTCGATTGGCAAACAGTGTGCAGTTCTCGTCGAATCGTTTATATGGAGCGTGAAGAGAGTGGAGTGGTCCTTGGGCAGGTACGAACACGAGAAGCACTCTCGATTCGGGACAGCGGAACACCTCCTGATAGACCCCAAAGGGCAGCCTGACAACGCAATCGGCACATTAAAGGCGGGACCGCAATAGATCTGAAGCACCTCCTGTATAGCCATTGCCACAAAGATGAGTTTGCTCACAGCGTCAAACACAGCCGCGTCCAGAAGTGTTCTCGACCGGGACAACTGAATATGGGGCACGGAATGCTCGTAACACGGACATGATTGGGTGTCAGCACATGTACATCCGTATGTTGATCGGTTGATATACGAGAGTTGCTTGTCCCAAGCGTTGTGAACCTTTGAGTGTCGATGAAGAATACGCTGAGTATGTGCCGGCCGGGCCACGACGTATAACTTTAAGTACCTGTTGGATTCTACCATCGAGTGGTGGCAAGTTCGTCAACGAGGATTAGCATGGAAGCACCAGGATCCAGGAATCAGGTGGGCAGATAGTAAATCATGGCCCTGCAAAAAGGGACATCAGAGTACCAGCGGCAGCTCAGGAGGCGGCCCTTTGGACATATAACATACTATATCTACAATGTGCATTGTTCACAACAATACGTTAAGATTCATTAACTTCGCACTCACCTATGAAGGACTCACTGCTTTCGGTCTGATACTTGCCTGGTGAAAATATCCAAGCTATTCCGATACCAAACGCGACTTGCGAACGGACTCGGATCTTACGGACGAACAGAGTAGCTGTGATAGAGTACTAGTGCTGATTAATCGAACACTGTTGAAGCTGTTAAGAGTCGAGACTGTGCGAAGCCGAAACGGCGATCCTGTAGCCACACTGTGTTTATCGTGCGAGCCGTCAGAAGACATGTAAATGAAGCCATACCCGAGCCCGAGCGCTGCCATGGCGTAACTCGAATTCGTCCTGGGAGTGCACACCCGTCAATGTTACAACCATGAAGAACTCTCTCATTTTCTTCGCAGCCCTAGTGGTAAGACTACACGCGAACAATCCAGCGTTTGCACGCGCCTGACAGAACGCGTATTTCAGGGTTTCGTCGCGTGGCGGAACGGGCTTGTGGCAAAGAACGTCTTCCTCACCAAGCCGTCTCTTCCCGAAGCCTACTACGGCGGCGGGGACCCCAAGAGCAAATGCCGCGTCCTGAAAGACGACCCGCAGGAAGCGCAGCTGAAATACTGCGAGGATGCGACGTTTTGGGACCACAAGGATAAGGGTGGCGTGCTGCAGGAGAGGCTACTCTTGCTTTCTTGTGACCCAAATCGCAAGGCATGGAACACCGTGATGGGTCCTCTACGGGACCCGAACCCTCGTGGTGCGCTCTGGGTATATGACCCGAAATCAGACAGCCTGCAAAAGGTTTCATTCACTGGCTACCCCGAGGGCCACGACTTTCACCCGCTGGGCCTGGAGATATGGCCTTCATACGCGGGGAACGCCTCGAATCTCTTCGTAGTCAACCACGCACGGCACAACACCACTATCGAGCAGTTCTACATGTCGCCGTCCCACCCGTCGCGGGCAACCTGGGTGCGTACGCTGACATCAAAATACTTCGTCTCGCCCAACTCCGTAGCCCTCACGTCGCCCACCTCGTTCTACGTCAGCAATGACCATCTGATGACCAGACGAGTCCCGAGCTTGCTGGGAGAAATTCTGCCCATGACCGAGTCGGTCTTTGGACTGCCGCTTGGCTGGGTTTCCCATGTCTCTGTTGACAGCCCCGACCCAGGATCAGTGTCAACCCAGCATACTTTCTCTGCGATAGGAATACCCTTCCCGAACGGTGTAGCGTTATCCCACGACGGACAGCAACTAGCGGTAGCCTCGAGCTCGATGGCAGAAGTCCGGTTCTACGCGCGGGAGTCGCTCACAAACGCCCTTCGCCTGCAGAGTAAAGTGCCACTGCCCTTCGCCGCCGACAACATTATGTTCGACGACGAGGGAACGCTGATAGTCGCGGGCCATCCCCACTTCCCATCGCTCATCGCGGTCTCAAAGAACAAGACCGACGCAGCCGCACCGAGCTGGGTTGTCGCCGTTAAGCCGCGCAGCCTGTACCACAAGCACCCTGAGACCGGGGCGCACCTGGTGCTGCACACACCTTCCCCAGAGTTTGACATGCAGGCTCCCTTGCCGGCGTCTGCTAAAGTTCCTCCCGCGCGCAGCCATACTGTGGAGACTTTATATCAAAGCGATGGAGGTGTCAATGGCTTCCCGAACTCCTGCACAGCTCTACGGGATAGCCAGGCAGGCACATTGTACGTGACGGGTTTGTACACTGAAGGCGTTCTAGTCTGTAGACCTTGACCATGGAATGAAAGACTGACCCGCAGGATTCGCGAGCTTGCTGCGGTCTATCTTGGCTTTTGCTCATTAAATTCATGGCGCTAGTCCCATTGCCAATACAAGAAGCCTCTACAGAAACTGAATAAAATAAAAAGGCACAATACATAGGTACATCCGTACTAGAAGCATGCAACAATTTAACCAGGACAAGGGGAGTATGGAAGACGATGACGACAAACAATTACGGTCACAAGCCGAAGACTACAGACAACTTACGGTAAACTTGAGGAATGTACGTCTTTGGCAACCGAGAATGTGTCGCAGAGAAGGGAAAGGAAGAAGGAATAGTACAGGGAACCGGCTCGACGAGTCATAGCCTTACGATTGACGGCCGGATCGTGACTTGGTGGAACACACTAGCACACACCGATCAGAGTGCAATCAGAATCCAAGAAGGTTTGGCAAGAAGGTCCTAAAGCAACGGCGTCAGATGATGTGCTGGAGAGGCAATCATATAACTTACATCGCTCCCAGCCCAGCAGCAAATGCGACTGCACCCCAAGCAGCAGATTTTCTTTCGGGTGGCATCCGTTCGTAGAAGCCCGTAACCCGCCTGTTGGTCGCTATAGCCCTCTCCTTATTCTCCGGCTCCTTGAACTCAAACTTGTACTGCTGCTCCTCGCTGTCTTCTCGCTCGCGCTTTTTGCCCACCAGCTCCTTTTGCTTCAAATCGTCGGCCTCCTCGATAGCCCTGGCGCGCTCCTGTTCTGCCTCATCGCGCTCCTTCTTCAACCTCTCAATCAATTCTTTCTGCTCAGCGATGTCCTCGTTCATATCAGGCCCATGGATATCAGGAAGCTCATCCTCGCCAACAGTTTCATCTGAAGCGGCAGGAGTAAGTGGCTCTTGCTGCCGCTTAGACGCTGGCTTGGATGGTGGCTTTCCGACCTTGACTGTCGTAGTCGTAGCAGCAGTAGACTTCAGAACTGAGCTCTTGGCAGGGCTTGCAGTCGTAACAGCAGGACTCGGCTTGCGAGGTGATCTGCGCAACGCCGGGCTGGCTGAAGGTGGCGGGGAAGGGGGCGGTTTGAGTTCTACGACAGGAGCAGGCGAAGCCTCCCTGCGGCGTTTGGTAGGGTTGGGGGAGCCGAAAGACGGAGCTGGCGTGGGCAAGGTTGTAGTGACTGGCGGGGCAGGCTGCTGCTTGGGGGTAGTCGGCTTCCCGGATCGCCGATACTGTTTGCCCTCTTCAGGCTCTGCGGCAGCCAGTAGAGGAATTATGTGGCTAATGCTATACGCCTCTGCCACAGACAAGGCGACGTCGACGCCGACCCAGGTGCCTGCCAGTCGAACACGGTAAGCGTCCTTCTGCGTGCCCACGTCGTAGTTCGCCTTGACCCACGCCGTCTCTGCCTTCTCCTCTTCGTCAGTGGCGAGGGGGAACGCAGCGCGGAACATGGTGGTCAGGCTGACTGCGCCGGTATCATATCGTCGTAGGATGAAGGCATGGCCACTCGGCTATGTCAGAGTTTACGTCTCAGGGACAATCGTGAAAAGTGAAGTGGGAGGCGCACAGTTGGAATCTTCAGTCTCCCGATCTGCAGAGACATCAGTCCATCTTCATTTCATCAAAACGACGCGATATTACGCACAATGACCTTCTGCCCTTCCTTCTCCAGCTCCTGGAACTTTACTTCCGGCAACTTCGAAGATTCAGCTGAGAAATCCCAGACGTGTCAGCTGTATCGTTCTCCAACATCCCTTTCGACGAAACGACGACGCACTGAGCTTCAACTGCGAGTTCGCGCGATGCACGGGCAGCGGGGGACGGGGGATGTTTGTTTTCGGGTAAATAAGATGGTGCTGAGGAGAGGGCATGGTGGTGGAGGGCACGGGCCAAGCCAGGCTGGGGCGTCGCGAGATCAGCGCGTTGAGTAACGCAGGCGTAACGGTCAACCGCCCTTCGGTCCGCGCCGACGCTGCCACGATGCATTTTCAATCTCCGCTCCGGTGTACCGAGGGCACGTGCTCGCCGTCACCGCGTCACCCACCGCGTTGTGGGTCCTTGTTTAGCGTGCATTACGAGAACTATAGTACAAAGCGCAGGACACTCCTTGTCTCTATCGATAGCAATACACCAAATAGTTTAAGTACTCAGATGCTTTCTATTCTCTACACTATTTGCGGTCTCGCAACCATTGCATCCACGAGCTCCCTTATGTCTTGCCACCATCCATGTATACCCGTCCGATTCTTCATGTCGGCGTGCTCGACCATGTCGTTCACAGGTACCCACTTGATCGCAGATCCCTGAATAGTTATGACAGCGGCGGTGTTGGGAGTTGTTTGTCTCTTTGTCTGCTTCCGTAAGACCTCGTGGTGCTCCTCCAGGAATGCCATGCACTTCAGAGACAGCCGGACAGCCCGAGCTCGGTCCATGGGCGAGGGGATGCCGCCCTGTAAAGTGTGTCCAAGGGACGCAGACCTAGAATCGAATAACTTCCCCCCTTCTTCCTTGAACATTTTCGTGAGCATATCCGTGGTGTAGATGTGCGATGATGCCTCGTTCCTATGTCTCGAGTCAGGTCAAGTAGCGACATCAACCCGACCACGCCATACCTGATGACGATACGCCCCTCATTATGCCCCTTGACATCTAGCTCGTATCGCCGTTTCAAGAATTTGACGTCATTCCGAAGCATATCCAGCGAAATCCCTGTCTCCGGAGTATAGACAATAACCGCACCACACTGCGAGAGCGAGATCACAACGTATTCTGTATACAATCACTGGCGGCACTCACCCCCAGAGCGCCCAAGGTGGCTAAGAAACCGCATTTCCCTCCCTGAGTTTCCACTACAAATACCCGGTTCCTACTCGCCTGAGCACTCTGCTTGATAGAGTCACACGCCTCCAGCAGCGCGTTCAAACTGGTATCACAACCAAGGCTGAATTGAGTAACCGGAACATTGTTCGAGATAGTGGCAGGAAGGTGCGTCATGGGGATATGAAACGCCGGATAGTGCTTCCTGCCTTGTTCCAGGATTAGCAGCGAAGTGAAAGCTTCGAACCCTCCGATCATGATCAGGCCGTCAATCCTGTGCTGCTGGAACTTCGCGGCTACGGCGCCGAGATCGACGTCGGGCAACGTACGGTTCGTACCCAGCTCGGAACCGCCACGCGCCATCCAGTTGTCCACGGTGAGCCAGGACAGTTCATACACGCTATCGTCGAGAAGCCCGAGGAAACCGTTCTGCACGGCTATCGGCGTGTGACCTTGGCGGTAGCAATACCGCGTAATGGCTCGGGTAGCCGCGTTCATTCCGCCAGCTGGAGCACCGATACTTTGGAGCGATGAGTACCCAAAGCGGGTTGACATAATGAAGAACATACTGCATGATGGCAACACGCATCCTCTGTACCGTCATTCTGCGTCATTAACCTTCTCCAGGAGGACAACACATATACGCACCTGCTCCTTGGGTAATCGCCCTTCCTTATCCAACCCGGACGTGGCGAAGAAGCCCTCCAAGCTGTCGACGAATTCTGGGTCACGGAGCGACATAGCCTTAGCGAAGTCCTTCTGCTGAAGAGCGGTAGCAACGGCTTGTGTCTGAGGGTGGAATAAGCGAAGTAACCTTTCATCCTCGAATAGGCAGACTTACAGCAGCCACGGCTTCCATCAAGGGTATGCGAGTGATTTTGTTCTCGCACATGCCAATCATGTATGAAGGAGTTTGGGGTGTTGCTTCCAAGAGAGCTTTTACGGCTTCTATGCCTTGCAGCGTCGGCTACGGAGCCGGGAAGCAACCTTAGCATGATCCTTACAGTACGCGTTTGGCAAGGAACACTCACCCAGATCCTGTCCAGAGCACAGGGTTTGCCACCTCGTTGAGTGTGTCCCAACGTCGTCACCCTAGTGTCCAGTCCCAGTCGTTCGGAGAGGACATCCTTCACGTATTCTGCGCGTATTGGCTGCAACTCCTTGTCAACAGCGCCCTCCGCGACGATAACGATTGTCTTTCGTTTCCCCATATGGCGATGCTAGAGTTAAGAGTGTCAGATACACAGTCTTGAAGCATGGACAATAGGCAGTGGCTAACCCGCTGGATCTTCGCGCACATTTCATCTTCCCAAGGATTCGTCTCTGGTGGAGACTCTGGGATGAATATAAAGTCTGCACCGGAACTGCCCCCCCTGGCTGAGACAATCGCGAATGAGATTAGGAACTGTACACTTACCTCAACCCGGCAAGGAGAGCTAACCAGCCACAATGCCGTCCCATCACCTCGATCACAAAGGCCCGAGAATGCGAAATGGCGGTGGAGTTGATGTTGTCTAGTGCTTCACAAATTCGATGTAGAGCGGTAGGAGCGCCGATGGTAAGGTCTGTCATGGACATGTCATTGTCGATCGAGCCAACCAGTCCAACGATCTTGAGGTGACCATGTAGCTTGTACTGTTCCTCGGATATTTTGCCTTTTGGTTATCAGGTCGAGGTGATACATATGACCGAGTAAGAGAAGGCGTGCGTACCTTGTTCGCGCAGAGTACCTACAATCTTTGGCCATTCCGATCGCAACACGTCCGCGCCGGTTAATGACCCATCTCCTCCACAGACAACGAGGGCATCGATACCCTCCTTGATCATGTTGTAGGCAGCTGCAGTCCGTCCCTCAGGCGTACGGAAGCTCTTGCATCGCGCTGTCCCAATGAGAGTTCCTCCCTGCATGACCCATCTCGGATCAGTCAACCGAAGACAACACGCCTAACTTACCTCCGTTAACCATCCTCGGACGTCGTCCCAACCAACGCGGACGATATAACGGCCCTTGAGCGTTCGACCGGAGGGAAGATCGCCAGTTCCGTCTTTCAGTAATGCACCGTCCCCAAATCTCAGGTTCTTCAGAAAATTAACGTCCTTGACGCGGACTTCCGGGGGAGGGGGAGGTAGAATAGCATCTTGGTGCTCATCGGCTTGATTGCCCCGTACCAAACCTTCGTAGCCTTCTCGCACGACCCATGTCTCACAGCCTCTTGATATCCTAACTTTAGAGGGGATAATGTATTGTTATTCGTGCGAGACTCACTGCAGGATGCCCGCCTTCACCACCGCACGGACGACCGCATTCATTCCGGCGCTGTCGCCCCCGGAAGTGAGAACGGCGAGCTTCATGGTCGTGTTCTGAACGCCGACGATGTACAGAGCAATGAGAGGTACAGTATCGGGGCCGCTGTACGACTGAATCGGCCTTAAGAGTGGACTCGGACTGTCCGCTCGCCATCATCCAGATTCGGCCTGGGCCATCGGAGATTAGACGCGCTCGACGCGTCCAACGTGCTGCGCGTTATTGGCCGCGTCGAGCTCGGTCTACATCCTCGGACCTTTGCTATCATCCGTGGGCGAGACTAGACTTGCTCGTGGTTGCTGACGACGATGGTGCATCACCGTATCAACGAACGGGAGACAAACCCGAATCCCCACATAAACTTTATAACCGCCCTTCCGATGCCGCAACCGGAAGCACAGGAGGCGGCGAGGCAGCTATTGCGGGCACTGGCGGCGCAAGTACGACCGATAATGAAAGCTCATGGGTTCTCAGTGAATAGCTTTGAGGAGGTCATTAATGCTCGGATATGCGCGACCAGCATCGAATACTGAATGTCACATTTGCAGTATGAGTATAATCGAGTATTCGCGGGTCGTAACTGGGAGGCAGGCGAAACTGTAGGTGAGTATGAATCAAGCAATCCTAGAGGTCACTGATCATCCCATCCCGGCAGAGCTTGTGTTACGGCGACCCGATGGTCGGTTCTACCCTAACTCATGGCTGTTGAGCACACTGTGCCACGAGGTACGTCCCGGGCAGCTTCCCGCCACAGCAGATGCTGCGACTGACCTTGATGGCTAGCTAGCCCACATCAAAGTGCGTGCATGCCTTTCCTGTACGATGCAGTCCTCTCCATGATGGGTCCCAGCACATGAATCATGGTCCTGCCTTCCAAGCCTTATGGCGGCAATTGAACAGCGAAGTGCGAGCGTTGCAGAACAAGGGCTATTACGGCGATGGTCTGCACTCCCTCTTCAGTCCAGACAGTATTCTCACCACGCATGCAGGCTACTGGTCCTCAGGGAAACTCCTGCTCGACTCGTCGCTAGTTGGCGGACAAACCTTAGAGACAGGTGATCTACCCGAATACATGGTAATCGACTCTATGATCATGTATCCGAAATTAGCGAGGTTTACCTGTTTGCGCAGTGCGGAGGCGCCCAAACACGCACCCGACCTACCCGGAGACGAAGACGCACTGCAGCAGCCGGACCTTCTAATCATACCGGAGCTCAGACAGCCAAGAGGCGCAAGGCTGGGTCAAGAGTCAAAGCGGAGGGTGCCTTTGTCGGTAAAGGCACGTCTCTCAACGACGATATCAGTGACGAGGACAGTAAGAAGGCTGGCGCGGGGTTTAGAAAAAAGGCGGGCAGGCAAGTCTAATATACCAGTCTTTATGGCCATTCTTCCTGCGCTAACCCCTGGTATCAGCAAGCGGGCCAGGGAAGAAAGAGCCTTGGCTGCGGAGCGGAGGCTCCGTGCTATCCAAGGTACGTGATTGGAGCGGAAACAACCCAGTACAGCATTCATGCGATCTTTAAAGGAGGATCTCAGCCCAAGGAACGGGAGAGATCTTCCGGGGATGAAGGAGAAGACGAGTTTGAGACGAAGCAAGAAACAGATCAAGAACGCCGAAATACCATGATGGATATGATGAAGGAGTCTGAGTTGGACGATCTCAAGATGACCAAACATGACTTCTGGAAAGACTTTGCAATCTCCTCTACCTCACGGCCACCCAGGGGAGAGGACAAAGATCCGCTTCATTTTATTGACCTGACCTCGGATGATGACAGACATAGATCATTCTCCTCTTGTCCTCCAGCTTCGGCTATAGCAGGTCTGTCGTCAAATAAGCATGCAAAGAACCCAACCCCAGCACCTCCAACCAAGGCTTCAACGGAGACGTCTAGTTTAATGAATACATCATCATCATCAAGCCAACTCTCGAAAGGATCGACAAAGCCCAAGCAGGATGTGCTTCGACTTGGGAACATCGTGCAGGACGAGGTCAAAACATGCAAGAAGGAATCTCTGGGCTTGAATGGTCCTGCCCGTAGGCTCGGAGCTGCCCCGGCTCGTGCAAAGCTAGGATCTCCTGGCAACGCAACGGAAGCGAATAGACTGGAAGGCCTACAGTGGGCCTGTGAGGTGTGCACATTGTATGCATTATTTTCCGGGTTAACGTATGCCTATCTAATAAAGTCCCTAGGTTAAATCAAGAAGGCCATCTGGCTTGCTCTGCCTGCGGTACTGCTAGGGATGCGCCGTCTTGGTCTGGCTCGTACAGATAGCTTGACTATCGTCGTATCACTCGAGCTGGTTTGCAAACTCGTGTAGTCTAGTCTGCATCCGATATGACACTGACGAGCTTTCCTCAATTTCCTCCTTCAGATAACCTGAGCCAGACCTTCGGAATGTCTTCAAATTTACCCCTCAAGTCGACAACCGTATCTGTCCCTTCTCCGAGCATGACCTTTCCATCTTGGATAGCTTTAGTGATGTCCACTTGGAATTGCGGCCACATATCCATCCAATCTGTGCAGATAAACCCTTTCAAGTTGATACGTTGTGAGACAATGTCGAAGAAGTTCTCAAAGGTTTGTGCGCCGGTCGAATTGTAAGCTGGAACAAAGAACCTGCTGTGAAGTGGCTGCCATTCTCGGGAACAAGGGAACACACCCACTACGGCACCACAGGCTGCTATCCTCCCATGATTCTTCATGCATGGTCGAGTATTGGCCCAGCTGTGTTGTCGAAATATCTGGCAAGAGATATCCGCAAAGAGGGGATGCAGGTATGAAAATTTGTTAGCCTCCTTTGCATAGAATTTACAAAGTCATCTGAACTCATGCATCTACACCTTCAGGGGCTGCTTCCGCCACATCCACTTTGAAATTGGGGGACTTGTAGTTCAAGGCCACATCGGCGCCGATGCTTAAAAGCCAATCGCATTTTTCTTTCGATCCAGCAATTGCCACGACTTTCCCCGCCTGTAATACTTTCTTGGCATTTTGGACGACGACGGTACCTACTGATCTGCCGCAAAATTGAGCACTAAGTGGAGGTCCGGAAGTCACAGGATTCATACCCAGCAGCGCCGCTGACAACAAGAGTCTGTCCTGTTTGGAATTTGAGCACTCGATGCAAGCCGGTATATGCTGTGAATCCAGAGAACCCGAGTGTTCCAAGGTATGCACTGTGTCAGTATCCCAAGGTAGGGCTGATATCTTCCGATAAATGTGAATAATCATCGTCCTGGTATTCAAAACTCACTCTAGCGCGAATACATCATCTTCTTTGCAAACTGTATACTCCGCCCAATGGAGCCACCCATATACCAAGTCTCCGACTTTGAACATTTTCGCGCTCTTGCCGGTAGCGATCACCTTGGCTATTCCAATGGTGTGAATGGTATCTCCTGGAACCAGGGGTTTGACGTATAACTTCTTTCTTTCACCACCTTTCCTGATCCATGTCCTCTGTGCTGGGTCGTTGGACAGAGTGAGGAGTTTCACAAGGACAGAAGCCTCGCCTGGCGGGGCCAATGCCACGTCCTTTAATTCGAACGTCTCCGGTAGGTCCGCTATTGATATTTGACCTTCAGGCTGCTGCTTTAATATCCATTCTTTGTCAGAGGTTGGAAGAGACATGGTGAGAGCACCATGTGTGTAGGAATGATTGGACTACACATTTTTTCCGTTCCATTCCTTATCGATTCTGAAATGAGACCGTCTTTCTCAGGAGCTCTTGAGAAAACCCGTGCTGTCGTAGTCTTAGGTCTACCGTGTCTTGCGGAAGCCCGGATCAAGAGAACCGCCGGCACAAGTGTCTTGGCCCCGTGGCCTCGAGGAACGCTCAACTGCCAATGTATTCATGTTGCAGGAAATGCCAGGAATATGAATACCCAACCATGAGCCTTCCTCGACGTTGGGAGAACCAAACGTTGAAGGGGAGCAGCGGCCATCGGTCCCTGTCAATTAGATAGCACGCACAGCATGGATGAAGCGAAACTGAAAGTGAATATATTATGCGACTTGAAGCGTACGAGGATTATGAATTCATTGTTTGCGACACCTGTCCACTGGTGATTGAATTCCGTGGAGAATGCCCCCTTGTGAGCAAACAGCTCAGTATCACCTGCGGCTCGGGACGAGGATAGTACAGGGCATGCCGTGAGTCTGAATCTGAGTCATCAGCCAGTTCGTCGAAAGGAAGTATATCTGGTTGGAATAGACGGCACAGAAGTGCAGTGGTGTCTGGCAGCTGAATGATACGTACCTGTCGATGGCTGCAGACGCCAGTGGTTGTTTGTGGTCCTGTGGCCATGGCTAGCTGCGGAAATCATCCTGCGATGAATTCATACAGACGGTAATGGGAGCATGCCATGGGACGAGCTCTATGAGATCAAACCATTTAATCCCATTACTCCGCTAACTTTCTAAGATCAGACTCGGATACAATGTACCGTAAGCACCCGCAACATAAAGATATCCACCGTAACAAGAAGCAAATTAGGGAAGAATAATGAATGAGCGAACTCGAACCAATAAGGAGAATATAAGGAAAGGTCATGAAGAGTCGTTATGGTCATTTCACAAAACTGCTAAACCTTTTCCACCCAAAGAAACTTTTACATTATAACACACCACTTCGACTTCTTCTCCTTCTCTGTCTTGTCTTCCTCAGTGGTTGCAGCACTAGGAGTGGGTGCACCAGAGGTGAATTCTCCCTGCACACTGTCCAAGGATGCGCGCCCTTCTTGAGGAGACACAACAGGAGACGAGAACCATCCCCCGGGGAAGAAACGGGAAGATGTGGTCGACTCATGCCTCGGGCGGCTGGCCGCATCCGGGTCTAGGAAAATTGAAGACATCTGCTCAACCGATTTGTCTTCATCAATAGGAGCCAGATGTGACGTAGTCAGTCTGTTACAATGCGTGATTAGCGTTCAAGAACTAGCAACGCTAACGATACGGGGTCTACTCACTTATCTTCTGCACTAGGGAAGGGCTCCTCGTCAACGTTCCCAACAGGTGCACTGGCCTCCCTGACCTCTTCAAGGTGATCCAAGATTTCCGTTGCAAAGGTATCGCCTGTTACGTTGGACTCCAGAACGGTATCTGGCGCTTCATTGCTCTCAACAGTCTTCGGCAGCGCGACGTTGTCCGTTGGTTCCGGCTGTATCGCTGCAGGGGTCGAAAGAGGCGTAGCATCGTTCTCAAAGCCTACGACCTCCGTGACAGCCATCTCTGCTTCAGGCTGTAATATCGGATAGGCTGGTGCAACAGCTGCCTCGCTTGTCTCAGACACTTCCGACTGAGACTCGAAGCTCAGAGTGGACATGCCAAGCGATGACGGTGGTGTGCTTGCAACTTCAGGGACGTGGCTGGCCTCTGCCACCTCCTCGTCCACTGGCTCCTGAGGCTGAACCTCCTCGGTAACAATGGACGGAATTGCGCTTTCAGGGAGAGATTCACCCTGCTGGTTATCCGCAATAGTAGCGGGTCCGGGAAGTTGCTCCAGGGGAGGGAGTTCGTGCCCTGGGGTCAAACCAGAGCCTTGTCTCGTCACAGTATATGACAGGGTCCAAGGCGACTTTGGCCTTTCAGGAACAGCTTCATCATGAGCAACAGGCAGACTGTCCAACCCCCTGGTTTGTGGTATAGGCTCATCCTGAAAGCGAAGGATCACATGTCAGTGACTGTCACAGCATGGTCATGTTCTGACTTACAACAAAGGGCTCTACTTCGGCACGAAGGTCAGGGCTCCTCGTGACAGAGTACGATGGCATCCAAGGCGACTTCGGTCTATCAGATACTGCGTTCTCAGACATGGGGAGAACAATGACCGGAGACTGTGTCACTGCATCCTACGGACTGCGTCAGGAAGGAGTCAACGTGGATAAGCACATAGCTCACATCTGGTGCGGGGAGACTCTCTCCCTGCAGTTCCGGAGTTTTCACAAAGGAATACGATGGTGTCCAAGGCGATCTGGGCCTTTCGGCAGTGGGAACAGGAACCTGATGAAGTGGTCACAGCCTGGACAGAAGTATATCCTTAGAGTACCTACCTCACCCGATGAATCTTCGTCGTCAATGAAACTTTTAACAACTGGGATCTTGGTAACTGTCTCCTCAAGCTCTCCCCCAGCAACCTGCTCCTCGGTTGCACTCTCGATATTTGTGGTTTCATCAGGTTTAGCATCCTCCATAGTATCCTGGGCAGCGTCGTTCACAGCACCAGGCACCAATGCTTCTGGCACCTCAGATGACTGCTCATCAGGACTCACCACCACCTAGGGGACGTCCGCGGAGACATCGGGTTCCGCTGCGGGAGGAAGTTGTTCCAGCTGCTCGATTTCCTGCTCCTGGGCAACGATGTCTGACTCTTTCAGTCCAGACCCAACAGTTGTCACGGAATACGAGGGTGTCCACGGAGATTTGGGTCTCTCATCTTGAGCTTCATCATTCACAGGAGACAAAGCGTGAGGGTACACCTGCAGACCGTGAGCATCCTGATGTTCGTAATCACAATAATTCTACCAGACTTACCTCCTTTCCTTCGAGCACATCCGGCACATCCGGTATCTGGTCAGCAGTGACGACATCAGCAGCTTCACTGACAGTAATTTGTGGCTCTGGCTGAACAGTTTCCTCAGTACTGGGCTGTAAATTTGCAGGAGGCGGTAGCTGTGAGAGTTCAGATAATTCCTCAGCATTACTTATGCCAGAGGCCGTCCCACCCTGAATACTGACGCTATATGAGGGGGTCCAAGGAGACTTTGGATGCTCCCCTTCCGATTCCCTCGCGGCTTCGAGAACAGTCGAGGCAGCATCATCCTCGGAAGAGGAACCATCAATCTGGATGACAGGCGTCTCTAATGGCGCTGAAGCTGAGGATTTTAGCTCAGCAGTGGACTCAGGTGTGTCTGCTTCTGGTAATGCAGCCTCCGCTTCTGGTAATGCAGCCTCCACTTCAGGTACAGCCTCAGTCTCCGCAATGGGCAGGGTTTCGACCATGGATCCGGCCGCTTCAACTTCAGCAACGGTCTCCGTGGAAGATTCGGCATCAGGCAGAGACTGTGCTGCGATGGTAGGTTCAGTGTCATCGGTATACTCAGCCACGGCAGCAAGCTCAGTAGCATAGGCAGTAGACTCTGGGGTGTCAATCGCGACTTGTTCCGCCACAGGTTTGTCTTCAGCGACTACTGACTCTTCCAACGGGGCTTCATTTGCAAGAGGTTCGTCTGACATTGAGAGATCCGCAGGGGCAGACATTTCTTCCGCAATTTCTGCTACGACTTCCGTTTCAGGCGCGGTCTCTTCCTTCATTGCAGGTTCCTCTGCGAGAGCTTCCTGTACACCCGTGTCGGTCTCCTCGATCGGAGGCACATCTTCAGCCGGGGCATCAGGAGCCGGGATTACAACATCCTCCGCAACACCCCACGCTCCAGCATCTGTCGATATAATCTTGTACTCCTGGTGAATGGTGCCAGGAGTTTCCTCACTTTTCGTAGTGACAGCGCTTTCAATGGCGGAGCTTTCATCCAAGACAGGAACGATGGTAGACTCGTCCGCAGCTGGAGCAACATTTTCTTGCTCAACACTAGGCTCGACTTCCAGTTCCTCTGCAGGGGTAATTAGAGTTTCTGCCGTGACATCTGCTGTCGTCTCGTCCAGGACAGGTATAATGGTCGCCTGTCCAACAGCAGGAGCATGTTGCCCGTCCTCCGGTATTACTTCAGAAGCAGTGTTAGGCTCCGATACCTCAGGAGTTGCATCCTCCTGTGGCACTTCTTCGCTCATTTCTTCAGCTTCTTGTTCAGCCGTGTCCTCCAATGTCGCAGCGGTCTCTTCGGTTTCTGGCATGGCGTCCGCAAGGGCTACCTCCGCCTCAACAGGCACACCTTCCTCTGTCACAGTGGAAGCTTCAGGAACGCCTTCTGTTACTGGGTCCACCTGCGCATCTTCAGTCACTTCAGCCGCAGGCTCCTCGTTGGCAGTAGCATCTGCCGTTTCAACTGGCTCGGGCTCAGGCGCAGCATCAATAACCGTAGGGTCTTCAGCGGGGACATCTTCGGTGGGCTCTTCAATGGGTACGGGTACTCCCTCCTCAGTAATCCGGGCAGGTTCCACCGCGGGTGCACTCTCGGTCGTAGACTTCATAGCATCAGTACTGGCGGGCTCAGCCAGCAGTTCTGCTTCTGCAGCAGAAGTCTCCTCCAGAAGTTCATCTGCTGGAGCTGGCACGCCCTCCTCTGCGGCCGTATCAGGCTCAGGCGTATCTTGAGTAGCAGGCTCTGCATCAGCAGTAACGGGCTCTGACGCCACCTCTACTTCTTCTACCTGTGCGGGCACACCTTCCTCAGTAATGGCAGCTGGTTCAGGTGCTTCCTCAGTCAGGACGGCGTCAGTATCAGGTTCTATGGCCTCGTCGGCAGCGGAGGTTGCAGCTGATTCTCCTTCAGTAGCTTCAGTAGCGGTGGGGATATCCTCCGACCCCTCTTCAGCTGGTAGAGGGACGCCCTCCTCAGTCAAGGGAGCAGGTTCAGGCACCTCTTCAATGGGAAGTTCTACAGGAGTTGTATCCTCTGCTGCAGCAGCGGGTTCTTCGTTGATAGCAGGAGCAGGCACCTCCTCCGCCTGGGCTTCCTGGGCAACAGGTGTCTCAGCGGTCGCTTCCTCGCTGGCCACTTCGACAGGCTCCTCGAGGGGACCTCCCGTGGACACATCGGGCGTCTCATCTTGGACAGCCTCTTCTGCAGCTGCAGGGACGTTCTCTTCAGCATCTGATACAACTTCCTGTTCCTCGTGTACAGGGATGTCTTTGGTGGGGGCAGCAGACTCCTCGGCTGGCTTTGCAAGAGCTTCTTCGATGGGCACACCCTCTTCAGTGACTGGAGCAGGCTCAGGAGCCTCTACTACTGATTCCTTCTGGGCGGCGATGTCTTCGGCGGGCACCACAGGCTCTTCATATGGCTCTTTGGAAGCTTCCTCAGTAGGTACACCCTCTTCGATGACTGGCACAGGCTCGGGAGTCTCTACTGCAGATTCTTGTTGAGCAGAAGTGTCTTCGGCGGGTGCTGCCTCTTCAACTGCCTCGACGACAACGTCTCCAACAGGTACGCCCTCTTCAGTGACGGATGCAGGCTCGGGAGCTTCTACTACTGATTCGTCCTGTGTAGAAGCTTCCTTAGTAGGCGCTACAGCCTCTTCAGCTGCCTCAGTGGAAACTTCTTCGGTAGGTACGCCCTCTTCAGTGATGTGCGTGGGCTCTGGAGCTTCCATTACTGACTCCTCCTGTGTAGGCGCCCCTTCAGCGGGGACCATAGACTCTTCTATTGCGCTGGCAGAAATGTCTTCAGCAGGAATGCCCTCTTCCGTGATGGGTGCTGGCTCGGAGGCTTCCAGTACTGATTCCTCCTCTGCAGGAGCATCCTCAGCGAGGGCCACAGACTCTCCATGTGGCTCTGCGAGAGCCTCAGTAGGCACCTGATTTTCTGTAACTGGTGCAGGTTCGGGAGCTTCCACTGCTTCAGAAGCAAGGGGAGTCTTGGGTTCCACTGCTACCTCGTCAGCTGGCGGCTGCTCAGTTTCAGTGGCAGGCTCCACCACTACAGCCTCAGCAGGAGGCTGCTCAGATTCTGCGGTAGGCTCCGCCTCTGCAGGAGCTGCGGCACCTTCTTCTTTCTCTGTATCTGCCTGAGCATCGAGAGGAATTCCCTCCTGTATAATGAGAATCATCAATATGCATAATCACCTTGAGCGACTGAGACACCTCACAACCGTCATCTCCTCTAGGACAGGCTCTGCAGCAACTTCTGCCACATCTTCAGCTCCAGTGTGCGGCTCATTGCCATTCGCATCAGTAGCTGCAGGCTCCTCCGGAGCAACAGGATCCTCTTCCTTGGGCTCAACACCATTAGTAGCAAACCCATTCTCGACAGGCTCGTCCACTGGTTTCCCAAGCTTGATACCCTCAGGCAATTCGACTGCACTATCAATGACAGCATTATCCGTCTATCAACGCGTCTCAGCTGCACATCGACACGACGGATAAAAATCGAAATCACATACAGATGCGCTCAGTGGAGCCTCGTCACCGTTCATGCGGTTGATAAGCCCCAACGATCTTCTGACCCCCGAAATTGCGGACTTGACACATCGTACATCCCCTCCAAAGTTTATTCGACACCACCTGTGGAACCTCTTATGCTACAAGTAACCGACAATGGGTTCTGGATTTAATTCCGGACCTTCTAACATCCTCAAGGCAGGCGCAGATCACCAATATGATTTATCTCCGCAGCCAGACGCTCCGAAGTCACCCGGGAGAATACCTTTGTGACTAATTATCTCCGGGAACGGCGGAGGCCCGCGTCGCAGTGAGGCATTGGTATTACCACTCCCCAGTCATCACGCCCCTTCGTTTCTGTCAAAGCGACCGAGTCAGCAGACATAAATCGACAGCCGGATGGAACGTATCAGTCAGCAAGCAGCCGGAGCTAAACCGCACGTGATCAGCCTGCAGTACCGCGTGATGAGGCACTTCAAGCAAGCATTGATGCATCAAGGCTACCCCTAAGACCTAGGACGAGCACGTGGAAACACGGCAGGATCGTATGGGACATGGTATAGCGGTGGGCAAAGGCTGAGTAATTGTGTGGGATGCGGAGCATATTCGTTATTTAACTCTGGACGGACGCAAAGCCATTCCAATAGTATAAAAATGTATGGAGCGTAGTAGGAAACCCAAGTTTTGTACTTCACCCTCTCAGTGTATCAGATTTACCGTCTCAGCAATCCTCGAAGTCCCCCCGCGTCGGACTTAGCGTCTACAATCGATCCTAGCTTTGCCAATAGGCCTGACTCGTCGAAACTAAATAACTCCTCCATCGCATATAGATCCTAGTAAGCTCTGGATTTAAAGTATAAAATTCACCGAGCGTCTGTAGGCAAGAGACTATTGTGTGGGTTCAGTAGAACTCCCCACCCGGGCTACTGGCGAACTTCGGAGATAAATACTCCGGAGAATCACTATACTGTTTGTTTCAGGCCTCAAGATTTTGTTTGTTTAGGTTTTCCTACGGGCTACCATACAGCGTCTTACTTCTCCCCCTCCCTTCGAACTTAAATATTACCCTTCAATCGCCTTAGACCGCCTCCACCCATACCGCTGGGTGTTTTAGGTTTTATTTCTTTTTGGTCTTTGGTGTTGTCATGTGTTAGTGCCTATCACCGTTGGCCCCGTTAGCATGCTCTCCACCATTGATTTCCAGTGCAGGTGCCTCATCCGCACGTTTGCCTGGCACATCGACCAACAACACGTCATTCTTCAGGGCCTCCTTCTCTGCAGCGTCCAGCGCGCCGTCCTTATGCTTGTCACCTGCCAGACTGTTAATCTCTGCACCATCGATAGGCGTTCCCTCTGCTATCGCGGCCGCGGTGGCTCCTTCTGCCACGGACATATCACAAGACCCATATTAAAAACACGCCTGTTATGACGGATGTGAGAATCCGCTGCGCTGCGAAACACCCGAGTTACGTGAAAAGACAATATACGCACAGTCAAGAACAAAGCTGAAGAGGCGTTTGTGAGCCTCACCGGTAGAGGTCGAAAGGTCGCGTAGAACCGGCTGTCCACTTTTCTAGCCGCCACTGGGCCCGAAGAGTTCAGATCCAATCAACCGCATCGGACGCGCCACATCACGTGATTCCGAACAACACTCAAGATTTAGCTCAGGCTGCAGTCGCTGCCAGTGCCACGTCGCGAGAGTTACCCATGGCGTTCACAATATGGGGACTGAAAACAGAAAGATATGTACATTGAAGTTCAGAAGACCTAGGCGACCCTAAGATACAGACCAGTAGACAGAGTGGATTGGCACTGTCTACTCTACACGGGGCCGGGCTACAGAAGGAAAATAAAAGGTACTAAAACGAACATAGGCAGTCGGGGTAAACGTCCTTCAGAAAAGACAGTATATTAAAGAGTGGCAGTCGGGTCCGACATCATGAAGTCATTCTAATGCGGAGTCTAGTCGTAACATACTCTCAGAAAGCACCGCTCAGAAAAGAGCAGCACCGACGAGACCCATAACACCTGCAACGCCGAACGCGCTCACGGCCTGGCCACGGGAGGCACCGCTAGAGTTGGTCGGGGAGGCACTGCTACCGCTGCTAGAGCCTGTAGGCCTGTTGGAGGACGAGTTGCCGCCGCTGGGCGAAGTGCTAGTAGGCGAAGAGCCGCCGCTGGTGGTGCCGCTCGGGGAGCTAGATATCAGTCAGTAACGGTGATCGACTACCAAAGTACATTAACTCACCTGCCGCCAGTGGTGGAAGCGCCACCGGTGACGGAAGCGCTGGTGCTGCCGTTCAAGCAGCTAAGGTCGCTGCCGGACTGGACAGTGACGATGTCAGAGAAAGCCTGAGCACCAGTGCTGTCCTTCAGGACAATGGTGCTATATAGCGGGTAGATACGCATAAGGTAACGATCCTTGACCTCAAACCGACACTTACAACGCGGTGTTGGGAGCCAGGGTCACTTGAGACCAGGAGAAGCTGGTACCCTGCTGCGTCGGGAATTGCTGGATCTGCAGAGATACTCGATTTCACAGTGATTTGCCATACACACAGATGTACTCACAGCCGTAGCAGAGGGCTGACCACCTATTCCCTTACTTAGCAAGGGTTGACATTTCACTCGCCATAGTAGGACTCACCAGGAACGAGGGACAGGAAGTAGGGCGCGGTACCATCGGCCCAGGTGAACTGAATGGGCTCTAAAGACGCGTTGTTACCATACTGGTCGACAACATCACTCTAGTAAACTTACGGCAAGCGACCACGTTAGTGCTGGACATCGCAACTCGCCGTCAGATTGGCAAAAAGACACCGACGCTCGAGGCTACTCACGGAGTGTTGACAGTCAATCCCAGGACGGCAGGGACGAGCGCGACAAGGGCAGCTGCGGTTGCGAAGAACTTCATGATGAACAGGGAGCGGACTGGTTAAAACTAGAGGTGATGATAGTTGCTTTTAACCTGCTAGAGGACGTGAAGAATGCCCAAAGGGAGCGTCAAAGACTGAACAGCGGTCGTTGTGAGGGAAGGAGACGACGCGCAGAGTTCCAGCAGTTTATCCCGCGGAGTTCCAATCGGAGTCGATGCCGTCAGCCATCTCCCGGAGGGTGCGGAGGCTTTCCCCGGCCGCCATTATGCTTCGATTCCAGCGTCATCAATTTCGGGCCAGTTTTGGGGTGCAAGTTTTGTGCAAGTTGGGCCAAGTTCACAACCACCAGGAACATGCCGCGATACACCGCAGAACAACCAAGGGTAGCAAAGCGTACAAACTCCTTACATATATTGCGTAGAAATTACAGCCCTATCCAGCTGCTGCGACCTCCTGGATTGTGGAGGCTCGTTTGCCCTATTTTTACGAGGCCGATGTCTGTCTTCGGCCAGTCTTCGCTTGATCTTGTCGGCGTTTCGACGTTCCTGTCAGATGGGAACGGCAGGTCGATGGCGTCAACCACAGGGCTCGGCGGCGCGACAGGCGTCGCTGCAGGGGCGAGCCAAGACCCATGTCTATTGACCACAGGCCCAATATGGGATTCCTTCGTCTTCACCTCCGGCAGGGGAGCGTTCCACACTGGCAAGAATGACTCTGCATACCATTCATACCAGACGCGGCGCTTGTTCGTGAGTCGCCACATTGTCACCTGTAGCTCCGAGTTGCTCGGCAGATACAAGGGCTCCTGTGTCACGATAAGAGTCAAGAATAGGTACCAAGTGGAGCAAGCCCACCTTGAAGGGGAATAAGATTGGGAACCAACTAAGCATGTCCTTTGATATCTGATCCTTCCGGTCCGGGTGGATGCTCAGGCCAACGTTGCCATACAAGACCGCCTCAAAATAGCCCGCCAGTCCATGGAGCACCCCCGCATGCGGTATGTGGAAGGTCAGTTTGGCTGAACGTGTGTTATGACTGTTCGTGAGCGGAAGGCCTGTCATACTGGTTAGCTTCCATGGATGCTAATTGATGACCTGCTTATACCTTGAGAATCGAGTGCGGCGTCTCGACGAGGATGCTCAAACTCCCAGCATTCTTGGACTTGAGGACCACATCGCCCGGCAAGCCCTCCGCCATTACCACTGAGAATGTTCACCGCTTGGAACATCACCACATACGGCGTTTCGGCAGTCTTTACGTCTCTGCCAGCTTGCGTCTCCTGGAACAACTTAGAAGACGACAGCGGCGCAATGTGCGCCGTATAGGAGGAAGGTATCGAGATGCCCTCCGCTATCCCATAATGGTCAGCCTGGGTATAACCACGCAAAAGAGGGCTCCGTACGTTTCAAGAATCGCATGGCACCATCAAGACACTCAGGACTGAGCTCATTGTCTCCGAAAGAGCCCAACAGCTCGCTGACCAGGATATCCACCTTTTCCGGTAGCTCCAACGCCCGCATGTCGCCGAATCTCAGGTCCACTTTGGATCCCCATTCACGTTGTAAGCGGTCTTGCAAACTACACCCCGTTAAATAGAGACAGAGAGAATAGATGGTTGCGTCAAGTACTCACGTCACATATGCATTAGGGTTCTTCTCCAGCGCGTAAACGAACGCCTTCCGCTTAGACCGTCCAATGGCTTTCAGCGAGCGGGCGACCAACGGACCCCGTCCAGCGCCTGCAACACAGATAACACTGCCGACATTCAGATTTTTCCTATTTAGCATACCGGGCGTCTCACATCCTATCACTTTCCGGCCAGTCCTTCAACGCTTGGTATATAGCCTTGGAACCCGTTGAGTGATCATCCGTTCAGGCAATCAAACCTGCTCACCTCCTCATAATTCCGGTATTTCACGGGATCCTGCTCGAATGTGTGGTATGTCGCGCTTTGCAGATTATCCATCAAAGGCTGGGAGAGCAATAATGACATACGTTAATTGGGATGGATTGCGTAAGTTACAGACCTGTAGGGGTGCTTGCAAATAATCATGGTAGCCTTGAGCAAAATTTTCGACAGTCCCGGGCTGCTGCATAGCCTGCAGCGCAGGACTGGTCTTCTCCAGGTGCCGCACATATTGCAAGTACGCCGTCTCGCCTCCGCGCGAGTGAACGCCTTTGTTCGCCCCTTCAACGATGACGGTAGGACGGTACTGTGAGCGGTTTTTAAATGGATGTATGACCACGGCACCCTGAGATCACTTACCTTCATGATATCGCGGATAAATGTTTGTGTGCCTTTGGGAAGCACCGGATATCCTTTTGCATTCGCGATGAATGTTGAAGCGGGGAGGAAGATGGAGTGCATAGGCTCGGCTGCCCATCGCTTCAGCACCCCGGCGCTGGAGGGTAGTGGAGGGGTTAAGTCCAATGCTAGATGATACAAAGAGCGATAAGTCATACAAGCTCGGGAGGACACGAACGAGAACGTACTGAGGCTAAGTCTCTGGTCATAGTTGCATATCGAGCGTATGACATCCCACATCTCCCAAGTTGCATTGAGTTCCCCTTCCGACGCCTTGGGGGTGTTACTTTTATTTGAACCTTCGAGTTCGCTCTCGTTAGTAGTTATCCGGACTCTTGACGACTGCGGTGTGCTGGGCAGGTCGGGGGTAGAGGATCTCGGCGTAGAGGTATGGGAAGATACCACGGGCGGCTTGAAGATCGAGGGATCGTATATCGGGAGTCGCACAGACAGTTGCATGTAGGGTATAGTAGAAAGACATGCGACCACTGCACGAGCATAGGACGCGACCTGTGCTCGATTCCGAGGAGGGGGGAGAATAGCAGTTTGGACATTCAGGTACGAAGCGTAAGAGAGTTCCTGCAGCAGGGCCTGTGCAATTTGTTAAGTGATGCTGACGCCACCTTGGTGAGCGACTAGACAAATCGGTCGTCGGTCGGATACAGGGAATTGACTGACGATTTCAGAATCATGGCGGACCCAGTCGTCGTTTGCGTCGAGCTCCAGCCAGTCGGAGACCAACGCTACCACGCTTTCGACCTCCTCTGAAGTCGATCTCAATCATCGTCGACACGATCATAGCGGGGACCGGAGCGTACCTAATCGTGTGATGGTTACTTCGTCTCGCAAGAAACTCGGGCTGGAGCGCCATGCCTCCGCCCGCTGTTCAGCAGCGAGGTTCTTTTCCCGGTCGTTCTCTGAAGACGACAGTATGCACATGCTCCGCCATCGCGCTTTCCAAGCCTCCGTGGTGATAGGAATACAAGTCAGCCCGTATCCCTTAGCGTCTGCGTCAGCTGCGATTTTGAGCACGGTGGTGGCATGCGCGCCATCAAGACGTGCTTGCGCTTTATGATATTCCTCGAGAGTTGCAAATTTGGCTAGGACGACGGCGGAGGATTGGTATGACATGCCGGCACGGACAGACGGCGGGCGTTGTGGGCGACGCGTCGGTCGTCCTGATCATCGTCCCGTATTTGGAAGCACTTGATCGGAGTGCTATCAACGATCGAGGCGGTATTTACAAAGTACAGTACACGCTCGGATACAAATGCTAGCTGGTATCATCCGTCGTTCGGGGCCTCTTCACTCCGTCGGCTGGCTCGTCGCTCTCTCGCCGCACATTCTCCTGCTCAGCACTCTGCCCCATACCGTATCCAGTCACCATGCCGTCCAATACGGTCTGACCTACAAGTCTCCTCAGCTCCTCCTCGGGATCGCGTCCCTCCGCCTCCGCGCGCTGCAGAATATCGTGAGCTGACGCCAGCAGTGAAGACGTCAAATTCTCCGATGCGGTATGCTGTGCGTGCTGCGATGGCTGGTGCGCAGAGTCGAGCACTCCGCCCGGGGTCTCGGACGTAGTGGTCAATGATTGCAGGTACGTAGAGACTTCTGGGAAGTCTTCGGCAAGGTAATCAATGGGCTGCGAGCTATGGTCACTGGTCTGGAGAGGATGAGCGTGCAGAGTGACGCTTACCGATACACCTTCGTGGTTTGTCCTCGCTACTACGGCGCCGTGTTCCACAAGGAACCTCGCCGTCTCGATGTTCTCGACAGTATATAGAGGGGTGTCACCGTCGTCGTCCGTAACGTTGACATCTCCGCCTAGGACGTAGGTGAACATGAAAGCTGCAACATCATTCAGTGATTAGGGTCATGCCTTTCGAGATAAGATACGTTAGTATCTCGAGATGTCCATACGACGCAGCAGCGTGCCTATGAGTTATTCGAAGTTTAGGTTGAGTAATGACGAATTTAGGGAACACCTTACATCGGTGTGTATGAGTTGGGATCCGGGACATTGGGCGATAAAGCTATGGATTACTGTCATAACTCATATTGCTTGGGTTCCAAAGCAATTACGCAGGCGACCTACCTTCGCCTTCGATCAATTCCTGCCTCAAATCGGTGAGCACTACCGGACCGCGCAAGGACCGCGCTATCTGGATTACCACTCACTCGGACTCGCTCCAAGTCGCCGTCTCCTGCTGCTATCCATATATTTTTCGCGGCTTGCACCCGAGTTGGCACCGGCATCGTGCTGAACCTACGAAGAATAAGCTATGCCGACAGGTGCGACGGGTTTGAGGTTGCTCAAGACTCAAGAGTGTCCGAAGACAAAACCGGACAGTCTGAGTGAAGTCCCTTCGGCGGATGCCGAACATGATCGGAGATCCGAGTCTCTTGTCCTGCGATTGGCCTGCAGTTCCTTCTTATGTTTCCCTGCTTCTGCAACCTCCGAGTCTAAAACACCCTCTCTAAGACTATCTGGCGTTCGTCAGACATAGATAAGGCAGCAGATTCTTGATCAGCTATATTCAGTTACAGTCAGGCCAAAGAGAAGCCCAACATAACATCGGAATACGACTCAGGTATGTCTAGACAAAGAGCTTGAGCTACCCTGCAATGTGGGGTACGGCGGCAATAGAAGGTCTGCACATCAGTGCGATAAGTCAGATAAGTACGTCCGGCTGATATAGCTCTTGCCACCTCCGCTCTTCCTGGCCGTCCATGACTGTCTGACTTGGTGGTGTTCGACCGCCTGATCATTGTAACCGGAGGTACCATTCATCTTTCATTCTCATTTAACCTTCTCTATTATCAGAAAATATTACGTCCTGCTGTCCTCTCGTAAAGACGCAGGTATTTTTGTACAAGCGCTGGCGACTCCTCGGTAACAGGGGGCCTGCCATTGGTTCTATTTCCGCTCGCAGAGACGATATGCCAAACGTCACCCACTCACGGTACGTCCAATGGGTCCACCGGGAGTAGAGCAAAAGCTTAACTGTCACTCCCCATCAGCATCGAGTCCTGCGGCTCCGGTTGGCTTTGCGTGCCATGCAGCTTCCCAGTCTGCTTTAGGCACAACTCTGCGCGTTCTGTTCGCGTCGGCGCGACCGGTGCGAAGCTGCTCGCACCCCAACTCTCGCGGGTGGGTGGGCAGCGGGAGAAGCTGCGAATGTGCATGCGATTCGTCCACGGTGTGGCTTCTCCCGGCGACAGTTGACATCACATCTAAAGCTGGGTATGTGGGCGATGGCTGCTGCGTTGACACGCCCCGCCCAGCTGACACGTATCGGCGCATTCTGGCTGATAACATGATGTGTTCCTCGCACCACTAGTGCCCACGAACCGACAGATAGTGCTCACCACCGACAGTATTTTCGTCGCCGCAGTGATTATACTTGACGATTGGCAGGGGCGTTAGACATGATCAGGGCTGGCAACTAGGATTTCCTACGACGGGCACGCGAAGCCTTCATCCCCGTCTTCCGGTGTTCAGCCGCGAGAGTTTCTCGGAAATTAGTGAGCTCGTTCTGTTTCATATGAGCTCCCGGAATCAGCGCTGACGTCGGGTCGCAGACAATAAGCTCTGAGCTGCGCAAGTGATCGATCCAGCGCATGCAAGGCATGCCCGAGAGTCCAGGCATGCAACGCCGTAAATTGTGGCTACTTTTTGAGCTGCTCAATGCTCCCCGCATGCTGTCTGAGCAGTCTGCGTCTGAATACTGCTGAACTAAGATAAAGAATAGCGCAACGATCGTGATCAGAGGTGTGAGAGCACGGGGAACGGATCTGAGCAGATCTGCAGAATTGGGCCGATCGGTCTCAAGATCTTGCTGATCCCGCCACCAAAAGACGCGGATGCTTCGGGCGACAGGCGAGGCGAGCGGAACGCAGTTCAGGTGCGCTGTGGGGAGTGTGGCTGGTGGCGTTGTGGCATCGCAGCGTTCGCCGGGGCTGGTGCCCATGATTCGGGCCAAAAGAACGCGGATGCAATTTTCGGACTGGAATTGCCATTTGCGGCCAGAATTATGGAAGAATTGTTCTCGATCGGACAGAGAACCGGGCGGGTGGCTGCCATATAAGGCAGGAGCCGCCGGGAGCCCCTGAGTCGCCACAGATTGGCCTGGTCCGACGCCGGGTCTTACCAGCGCCGCGTCGCTGACCGAGTCGACCACCCGCCCGTCCTCGGCGTCGTCGTTTTGCCTCTTGTCGCCGCGCTGCAACCTCCCTGCTCGTCGTCGCCCACGACGACCACGCCCGCTTTCAGGCGCAACTCAAAATTTCTGATCGATACCGCGTTTCTGCCACATCGATTTTCAGCCGTCTGCTGCTGTGCACTGCACCGCACCGCTCGCGTCTGCGCTTCGCTCGCCCCTGTCGGCTTCCCCTAAGAGCGCACCCGTCTGAGACCACGCGAGCAGCCGAGTATATTGTATTGTACCCATTTTCTTATTCGCCAGCATTCCTTGTTTCCTGCCATGAGCTTCAGCACGCCCCCGCAACGAGGCTTCGACTCGCAGGCGGAACTGGGCCCCCAGCTCAGCCACCACAATCCGCGCTTGCCCTCTGGCGTCGCCCTCCAGTCCTACGACAACTTCTCCTCGCTGCTCTCTGAGCCCGCCGGCGCTGACTCGGCCGATCATCCCTCCAGTAACATGCCGAAAGTCGGTGAAACGCGATGTTGTGAGTCCCCCCGTCCTGCCTCTTTGACGACCTCGATCGTCCATCGCGATCGTTCAATTAGTCTCCCTGATCGTTCCCCGCATATCTCGTTGCGCTCGCTGACCACCCTCGCAGACTGGTCCCTCCTCAACTCGGAGCTGCAGTTCCTGTATCTCGACCCCGTCCTCGCAAACCATCTCGGGCAGCAGGCCGATGCGCTCATTGGCAAGCCCCTGCTCGCCTTCGTCCATCCCGATGAGCAGGCCTCCGCCAGGCACGATCTCGGCAGCGTTCTCGAGTCGCGGACGTTGCACGGCAGTGTCACCCGCGTGAAGTACTGTCGTCTCTCCAGCGTCCGCCGGAAGCTGGGTGCGTCGGATGCCATCTCGCCCTGGACCGATGGCGACAAAATCGCGGTCGACCAGAACTACATGGCCGTCGACATTGTTATCAATTGGGCAGCAGAGGGTCTAGTGCTGTGCTTCATGCATGCCGTTGTCGATCTCACGCCGTACGACAATGATCCCCGGTATAAGACCGGCTGGTCAAACTGGTGCAGCACCCCTGCCTACGCCATGGACAGCCACCAAATCCAGCTAATGTACAACCGTCTCGTGCAATATGTGCCACAGACCGGGACCCTGGACAGGGTCTTCCAGATCCTCGCAAACCAGCAAGGAAACAGGCATTGCTTGATAAGCTGGCCGCCTGATCAGGGCGACGGGCACTCCGGGGGTATCGCGTCCAAGGACTTCGTCCGACTCGCAGAAGAAGTCCAGATCGGTGAGAACCCTGGCAGTGGCGCTAGCGACGCGAAGACAAGTTGCACGAGGAGGTACAAGGCGCTGCAGACCGTCAACGTTGGAATGGACGATCTCAAGGAGGTGGAGAGCATCTTCATCCCTCATGGTGAGTCATGTTTCCCTCCTTCCACACCATCCAATGTATCAACAGCTGCCTTTTGCATAGGCACTATCATATTCGCCTGCCATAAGGTAAACCCCCGGCCCAGCTTGAACGGCGCCGCCTACGGCCAACAGTCGAACGCGTATTCTCAGCAACCACAGCAGCAACAGCAACAATACTACAACAACTCGTTTCCGCTGCCATCCCTCTCCGACCCCACATCTCAGTACAACGGGTACGTTAACCAGCCTCACGCACAGATGCATGCGCAACAACCATACAACGGCCAATGGTCCGAGGCCTCTTCCTCTCAGGCACAGCAGTACTACCCGACTCAGCAGCAGGCATGGACTGCCGCGCCCGCATCTTCGACTGGACAAATGCCTTACATGGACCCGTTGTCACCGTCCTACCCCTATGTTGGTTCCCAAGAGGGTGCGTCGCCATCTAATCTGTCTACCGGCAGCTCGTCTATCTCTGCGAGTGCCGGCCACGCGAACGGTAACGACGGTAGCGGGGGCAACGTCAATGACGCTGTCCCGCCGCCGAGACATGCGTCGCGGCGGAACGGAAGCCCGAATACTTCTACTACGAGAGACTCGTACGGGAGCGGTGGACGCAGCTCAGGGAACCCGCCCGTGGGTATCGTGAAATGTTCCAGCTGCAAGGCTACCCAAAGTCCAGAGTGGCGGAAGGGTCCGAGTGGTAAGAAGGATCTGTGTAACGCGTATGTATAATCCCTTTGTCGACGTCTGCGTTACTGAGCGGTTGCATCTTTTCTCATATACAGTTGTGGCTTGCGCTATGCTCGTTCGAGAGCTAAGAAAGAAGGTATCACGAGTCAGAGACGGCGTAAAGACCGGACCTACGGCTCTACAGCCTCACCTGCATCTACTGCATCTCCTGCTGTCAAGTCGGAGCCCCTGCCTCAGACACCACTTACTCCGGCCTCCCCGGCGGCTTCGTATGCAAGTTCTGCAATGAGGCGGGGCGGCTACGACGAGGCCCAAAACTCGTTCGGCACGTCCCAACCAAGCGCTGCTCATAACCTTTCCTCAAATCTGAACGGGCTTACGCCTTCTCCATCGCCTTCTCCCTCCACCTCTAATCCGTTCGGGCAACACTACTCTCAGCATCCCAACACGGCTTCGCCTACCAGCAGCGGTTTCTATTCGCCCGTCTCTCCTACCGGTCCTCCCTCCATGATGAATCAGCAGCTGCATCAGCGCCAGGCCGTGCATATGGCCGGTGCTTCTGGGGTTCCGAGGCCTCGGCTGGATTCGTTATCTTCCTTCCCCAATAGTCATAGCCGCCTTTCTATCTCCTCGTCATCCCCTGCCTCGGCGTCCCCGCTTAGTGCCCCCGGTTATGATAGGGAGCGGGAACGTGACCTGCAGTCCGGGCAGCGTATGTCCATGGGCGGCGACAACGGTTCTGGGATGGCCTTGCCTCCTACCCCCGTGTCTGCGGGGATGGAGCCGCAGAGACACCGGATTTAGGTATCGTCGCCGACACGATGAAAACACTGGTGACGTGGAGAAGCCGTTTCCCTAACTATATGGTCAATTGATGGAACTGTAGGCTTGGCCTTGTGGGCCGTATATTATACTCTACTCCCGCTCGTGCAGTTCGGACACACGCCAAGGACTTGTGCTGACGAATGTATTTTAGCATGGATTACAATGACATCCTCCTTTTATTTTTCTCCCGCTTCTTATTCTCAGCGCGCGCCGTTTTCCGCTTTCCCCCCACCTCTTGAACATATTTATCCATTGCCCCCATGCCCCCCTTCCTTCTCTTCGAAGCGGCTTGTTCATATGATTTCAGCGTCTATGTATTGTACGATTATGAATAGAACCGGCTGCCCGCATCCCGGGCTCCTTCACTCAACATCGCGTGCACTCTCAGTAAGTAGCTGGAGGCCACCCACGTACATATGCCTCGATATGCCCGTAAGACGAGCGATTTAGCTTCGACTCGATCGATCAGATCGTAATCGACAGAGATCATTAGACTATCGGGGGCTTCGACGCTTCTCGTCCCACTCTCGGAGGTGTCGTTGATTACGGCACTGGCAGCGACGGGCAATTCAGGCCCGGCTGACCGGTCAATGCGAGGCTGAAGGGAATCTGCCAATCTGTGGCAGATAGTATGTGGACAGCCAGAGACTGTCAATGTGGTATGGCCGCTGGCAAATATAACGTTAAGTGTACTATTTTCTCAGAATCAAGCGGAGTTCCTGCCCCCGGCGACTGCAACGAGGAATGCCACATTAGCATACAGATTAAATCATTAAGGTACTCACCAGCCTGGTTATGATATTCCAATGCAGCCTTGCATGATAGGAAGAAGTCGTTGGACAAAAGAAATAAGGATCTAATGAAATGGAGCATAAGGAGGGTCACTCGAGGGCCGATTGGGCCGTAATCGCCTTACCCGGTATTACAGAGTGAGAGAGGCAATGGGCCCATGCGTTGTGCTTGAACACAGTAAACTATATATGTCAAGCTTCAAGTTCAAGTGCCAGACTAAGTATCATTCCCGAATTCAATGAGAATAATCTGACTGTAGCCTGTGTGTTTTCTGCAGAACAAGCACGGGTAAACCCAGGGGAGTTGAGACACTGTCACAAGTCGGAAGCACAAGTCTACGGTGTGCAACACAAGCAAGGTTGCCCTTTGATAGTATACCTGACTGCAGGAGGCAGAAGGGTTTACACAGAAACAAAATACCAAAGCACGAGTGAGAGATCTCCCCGATATGTCGATCGCAGCCACGTGCCCTCGCGTCTAATTGGCGCGTCGACGCGCCCGTCGCACTGACTCGGGTGCTGACCTGTGCACAAGACACTGAACATCCCAGCGTTGAACGTTGAACGTCTGTCACCCAACGGTATCTACGTCTGGAGCTCGGACTGAATACTGTCTACGCACATATCGAGGTCATGTCGGATTCTGAAGCGCAAGTGGCCGATGTCAAGGCTGAGGCAATTGAGCAGACAGAAGTCGGAGATCTAGTAGTAGTAGAAAAGTACGTCCGAATTCGTGTCATCTCCGTTGGATTTGCACAACCTGACATGAAAAAACGATTAGAACTCGAGCTAGAGTAGTCACGGTTGTGCGTGAAGAGCACCCGCATCACGTTGAAAGTGAAGCCGAGGAGGACGACGAAGAGGAGGACGAGGAGGGAGACTTGAACGACTTCCTCGCGAGCTACCCGGATGACACACAAGTAAGCGATGGTCAGAGTCCATTATATCGAGGAAAACTTGCTCACATCACCGTAGGAACTAGAATTGATCCATTCCCGTCTCAACTCGCTCGCCAATCTCCGCTTGCCCCGGTTTGCCGCCCACCTCAAGAAGCTCTGCCTGCGCCAGAACCAGATCTCCTACCTGGACCCCCAAATCTTCCACACCCTTACTAATCTCGAGGAGTTGGACTTTTACGATAACAAGATCAAGACCATCGGGGACGCCCTGAATAAACTGTCGAAACTGACGTGAGTGCCTTTCCCCGCGCTACCTCTGTATACATGTGCAGACTAGTCATAATTAGCGTCTTAGACCTCTCATTTAACCTCCTACGAGCCGTTCCTGAGAACTTGTCGTATCTCACGTCCTTGGACACTCTGTACTTTGTTCAGAACAAGATTTCGAAGATTGACGGTCTTCAGGGCATCGGCTCCACGCTGCGAAGTCTAGAACTAGGAGGAAATAGGATTCGAGTAAGCATGTATTTGAGCAGTCCGATTGCCTTCTAACCTCGATAAACGATTCTGCAGAAAATCGAGAATCTTGATGCCCTCGTTAACCTCGAAGAGCTGTGGCTGGGTAAGAACAAGATCACAAGGCTCGAGGTAACTAGTTATCGCTTACCGATAGCGCGGCTCGGTGATCCTGTTGCCCGTAGGGTCTCGATACCCTCAAGCGTCTCAAGATATTATCGATACAGTCAAACCGAATAACGAAGATCGAGAACTTGGAACAACTGGAGAGTTTGGAAGAGTTGTACCTCAGCCATAATGGTATCCAGCGGCTAGAAGGCCTGGATAAAAACGTAAGGCTCGAATGACGAGTTATTCCTTCTGGCCGCAGGACACTTAATGCCTGCACTCTCAGCTGAAACTCAGGACACTGGACGTAGGGTCGAATTTCATCCCGGAGGTTGAGAACGTCTCGCACCTGACATCACTCGAAGAGCTTTGGGTATGCCCTTTCCGCTCATTTCAGCATGCACGCTCTTGAATTCACCCCGCGTCAATGCATAGATGAGTGGTAATCGGATAGAGAGCCTGCAGGCGCTCGAGCCGCAACTCAAGCACATCAGCACGCTCGAGACCATCTACCTTGAGGGAAACCCGTGCCAGCGGACCGAGGGTGTGAATTATCGGCGGAAGATCATGCTCGCGCTGCCGCAGCTGAAGCAAATTGACGCAACGTGAGTGTCGAGTGTATGCCACTTCTATAGACCGACGATTCTCATTATCCGTGCAGATACACCAGAGCGGCGGCGTGATTGGTTTATTCTATTTCGGAGCGAACCAGGGCGACCTTAACTGCAAATGTAGACTATGTAGGTGTATTGGCTCTTGTACGTGTCATATATGAGGGCGTTGGAAGGGGTTTTCTCCCCGCTATTCAATGAATCCTGTGCTTAATGAAAGGCAGTATTTAATTTTGCCTTCCGTGCAGATTGACTTTGATACATCAGGGATGTTCCGATTTCGAAAGAGATGGTCCTAGAGCTCCTACGGGAAGCTGCGGCTTGAGAGTATGTTTCGTAAGCCTAACCGTTTGGCAGGGGAATATCGCTCGGTATTGCTTCGCGTGTCCCGCATCGCCGCTGCCCGTTTAGTCACTAGATACGGGTGCATGGGTACGCGGATGCTGCGATTGGAAGGCGCCGTCTGTTGTACCCGCTGATGTTCATAACCGTAACCCATAAGGACTCGCTGAGCCATGAATATTAATGGTCCCCGCGCTGCCTTCATCAGCAAATATATCGGATCCTTTAGGCCACTAATATTGTGGCTGCTATGCAGGGCTGTGGCGTCCTGTCGCTGATGACTCGCACGGCAGTCAGTTTCGTCGGCGTTGCATCCCCAGGGAGGGAGAATCGATGCGGGTGAACTGACGACTGTGAGCTGGAGGCTCATGCGTACGCAAGACTAATAGGAGATTGATCCTTCGTATTTTGCAGAAGGGCTTTCGTCCAGCGGAATCCATTCACGTGCGCCCGGCCCGATCGCAGCTTGAGTCCACTGAATCGCACAGACCAATCCTGTATGCAGTCTTGCCTGCATCGTGCAGGGCAGGTTCACGCTGGCAGAGTCCACGTCCTTTGTGGTTTATACGGCTACACTTACAATTTCCCTAGCTATAGGATAACAACTTGAACCTTGGACGAACTATTCGGGTACTCTCGGGTCGCGTCAGACACCTTACGTCGCGGTGAGCGATGGCTGTGCACTTGATAGCTTTCGACGGTATGGATGACGTTTCTGTCTAAGCGAACACGAGTTTCGAACAGTCTCGCAGTCCGGCAGGTCTTCCGAGCATCAGTTCATAAAGGCTGCCGACGATGGCGGGCCCTACGTTGCACCCCAGACAAGACTTGGACTGCAACTTTCACTCATGCGACATTCATGTCAGTATATCCTATGGTAGCCCATTATGCCGAACATTTCGCGGTGTACTCGGACTACGCAGCGATCGCTATGACCTTTGTTCATATCCTACTGCTGTACCGTCACCTCGTCCTATTCAGCAGATGTCGGGCCACCGTTCATCTCCTTTTGGTCCTTTTCTCGTGTTGTGAGTGATATTAGCAATTGTCTTCTCCATAATCTAACGCATCTGCCTGCAGGTCGCGTGACTATCTTCGGCCTGCGGGCTTTGCAGACCAGTATATCGCCATGTCACGAATTCTCAACTATACGGAGACACAACGCAGTCATAAACAACGCAGGCACCTCTGCGATTCTCTACGCAGCTTATCTCCTGGTGCTACAACGGTTAGTACATTTCAGAAACCAGCTCCTTCGTCAGTACTAATAAGCCATCCTTTTGAACTACGACCATTACTTTGCAGAGATGAGTTCAGTGGACCGCACGTGACGGACGGTCTAAGGGGCATAGTCAGACGACTCAGAAGGAACCGCGGCGTTGTCCTCGCTTCACTCTTATACTGCATCTTTCTCAGGCTCAAGCAGGCACGCAGCGTTGTCTACAGCTACTGGTTGATGCATCGATTGGACCGCAATCATAAACCAGTCAGAAAAGCGGATGCACCGCTGTATCTGATTGTATGCTGCATACTCGTATTTCAAATGTTTGTACTATTACGACACGAAGGGACACGATACATAGGTAACCTGATCATTATTGCTCCTCAGGTCACTGCGACTTATGTCGTCGTCCACAGATGAACGTACTGACCATAGACCACACCGGCGCTCAACCTCTCTCATCTTCATCGCCATCATCGTCGCCATGCTCTTCCTACGTTCGCTATTCTCTGCTCTCGCAGTCGGAAGTGACGGACCTGCGCCAACGAATACCGCGACAGGGGAGACCTTCTATTACATATTCAGCGCAGTGCCTGAGTCGCTAGCCGCCGCACTACTCGGTGTACCTGGGGTTGTGCCTTCGCCGATCGAGCTACGTCTTCATTCGTGGAGCTCGCGTCAATTGCCCATCTAAACTCCCGGCACACCAGCACCTCTGTCTCACAAAGGCACACGAGCAACCTAGGATTTATAGTCGCACAGAGTATAAGACCTCTCAGTGGGAACACCGGAAGGTTCTCCAAGTCTCCTCTAATGTTCCTCCGGACACCGCCTGCCGCCCGAGACACAAACTCCTGTACAGTTTGCTCCAGCTATAGATCAGACCCGTTTCCTTGCTGACATCCGTCCGTGCCTCTCCTGCTCAAGCCTGTCAACTATGTCCGTAGACGGTCGTAGGCTACAAGTCGGCGCCCGCCTTGGTAATCTCGTCAAGGCCAGCGATAGGTTGTGGGCATCACCACGACTTTGGTGACATGTCAGTTCGCCATTGCCGCGAAAGCGGATAGAGGTGGAGATGCTGCGGAAGATGGCAGCCAATGCCGCCCGCAGGAGTACTCGGTGCTTTGTACCTTCTCTTTCCGAATATTCGAAGTGTGTGTGTGTGTAATCCGGAATGGGCAGCAGACGCTGCCCCTGGTACTTGTAGGAGGGGGGAAGAGGCATGAGGGGGAATATTCGGTCCGCATATCTTCGGTATGTGCGCCGCAGAAGCAGACCAGATTTATATCCATGTTTTAGATCACACCATTCTGTGACGATCGTGCTGAACCATTCACTGAGCTCCTACACATGAAGCAATTGTTCTGCCGACACAAGTAGAACTCGAACGAGTTGATCTTGTCGGTGAGCTGCACGCAATCACATTGCACATCCAGCCTTCTGCAATGCTGAAAGCATCCTCTATATTTTCGAGGCTTGCCGCGTGGCTGGATGGAGGTGGGTCTGGCCATGTTGCTCTATGACTCAAATGCAATGAAGGACGCGCTTGCGGCCTACTTGGATGGTAATCACTTCCGGAAGAGCCAAAAGTGGCAGTGTTAACTACGTGATTGGCGCCTGATCGTGAAGCGCTCGTCAGACGGAAATGGTGGGTGACGGCAACGCATTTACCTCCGACATCCAGTCATATGACGCACAAGGCGCTGTGTGAGGCTGTGGACGATGTTACTGATGGTGAAGCTGCAAATGTCTGAAAGCCGGAGGATGCTCAAGCAACATTGCCGGAGCGTCTGCACCGACCCCTGCGCTCTTGTACACTATGGGATACCCCCTCGGTCAATACTATGGCCTTGAATATCCGTTTGTCGCTTTGCTCTGCGCCTGCGCATACATAGGGTGCACGGCGTTCTTTGCCCTCAAATGGTTGCGAAGACGCGAGGTCACAACGGCCGTTGTGCTGGCATTCTGTATCGGTACGTCTACCATTTCCTCATGAACCTACCGGTCAATGATTCCCCACCTAGTGAGGGTCGCCACCTTCGTTTTACGAACGATGTCCTGCAATCGGCACCTGCCTAACTTCAAAAAATTCATTGTCGGAGTCGTGCTGTGGAATGTAGGATTCGCGGTCGTTGTCTATGCAGCCCACCTGCTCACATCTGCCCGGTAAGTGGGCTGCGATTTGGAACCGCACCTGCTCAACATTGTACACACAGCAGGATACGTAGGCCTGCTGTACTCGGTGGTTCTATGTCCTCGGTATTATGCAATCTCGGGATTATCGGCGCATTATTGAGCGCTGTCGTCCTTGGAGTGCGAGCGGAAGGCACCCTCGACGAGTACTCATGGCTGCGAAGTCATTACACCTCTAGGAGTCGGAGGCTAAGGCATTCGAGCACGGTTATTTTCTTGGTCGTGTCGTTACTTGTATGGCTGCGTATCGCCATCCTGCTGAGGCGCGAGATTTTCCGCGTAAAAGTACAAGGTCAGACGCTTGTCATGTACTCGTTGGTGTTCGTGAATTCACTGGTGTTACAGAGCTCTTTGATTCGAGAAGGTGGCAAAGCCCTGTGATGGTTCTGTACGTTCCGGCGTTACAGCCACTAGCCTTCCTGGCTATTCCGACCATGCTGCTTGTTCGATCGTTACTTCTCACGGCTAGCACGAAATCAGCTACGTTCCAGGAAGAAAAGCAGACACACGACGGGTGGCTGTTCTATCTCTTGGGGGCGTTACCGGAGCTGGTGGCTGTGATGTCGTTTGCCGTACCAGGGCTCGTCCCTGAAAGCCATGGTTCCTCTGCGGCTGTAGATGTGGATATCGAGATCAATGACTTGACAATGTCACATCACAACCCGGCAGCTACTCGGACGTTACCTGGGAGGGGATTAGTATCATAGAATCGTGTAAAACAAGATTCAATACCAAGGCATTTGGCGCGCACAAGGTTAGGGTTCTGTCACCATATTCCCTCTACGGTATAGGGATCGACTGGTGTTATATTGGGCATACATGCATGTGGAATCAGTGCTAGGCTCATACATTAATCGTGCAGCAACCATTGGACGCTCGGTCACGATCAACTAGGGAAATCGCAACCAATTCTTGAACTTCACGCACGCAAGCTCGGTAGAACAGCATTCCCATATCCCCTGGTGGGCGAAGAATAAATAGCTACAACGTGACCTGCAATATCACTTGCTGTTGTTGAGAGTAGGGGCTTGGGGCCCGAGTCCGTCTATATGTCACGAAAAGCATCACAGGAATGGTAAGTCCACGGCTTTGTATGCACGATAATGGAGCAACCTAGAAGGAAACGTAGAATAGCCTCCCTGCAGATAGGTGACTATCCATTGTGATCGAATCCTGGGCTCAGGTGATAAAAGCCGCTCTGAATATCGGCCTGGATGTTCGGTGAGAAGCAGTAAAGTCAGCAACCATAGGGTGCAATGTTCTGGCCGCACGAACGAGTGCGAAGACTCCCGGACACGCCTGCACAAGAGCTGAAATGCTATGAGATGATATATGACGTGCATCGGCAAAGATGCCGTACCAACCTATTATAAACATCCGTAATAGCTACCATACCCTCGCAGTCCAATCCACAGCCTTCGAGACAACTGTCATGTCATCAATCGAACTACAGAATGTCGCGATATTCGGGGCAACCCCTCGCCAACCCCCAGCTGCCCTCCTACAAGCCCGACCTAACCGGCACCGCGCGCGTCGGACCGAAGTACAAGATGTACATCCTCGGCGACGCGAGCGCGAAGGTCGACTGGTCGAGCCTCGACGACGTCAGGAATTTCGCGTTGGCGACCCTCGTGCGCCCCGAGGACTCGCGCAATCGCACGCTTCACTTGCCGAGTGACACGGTCAGCCAGGCGAGGATCGCGCAGATGCTGGAGGAGCGGTAAGCCCGTCGAGCGGGTGCACGGACCGGTGGGGGAGGCGCATAGGGTCCTCGAGGACCCAAGCAGAGCGCCGAAAGATGTTGCTGGGAGCAGCAAAATCCCGGTGCAGTTCTAGTACACCGTGGAGGGCGGCCAGATGACGGGGATCGGGTACGGACCTGCCGAGTTCAACCATCATGAGGCTTGGCCGAAAGTGAAGAGGACGAGCATCGAGGAATAGTTGAAGAGGAAGTTTGGCGGCTCATGATCGTAGTGTGGCACCTGTAACATTACACGACCATAAAATAACAATAGACGGGCTGGCCAGGTCCGCTCATAGACTCTGACTGCCAGCCAACCCTCCCGAGTTAACCGTCCTGTCCTTCGCCTTGGCATGCCGCGTCAGCAAACGTCAGTCACTCCACGTCCAGCATGATTGCGCACCTCTAACAGCAGATCATTATCCACATCAGGGAGAACCTCTTCTGGCTCCCCATTCCATGGCACAATCGCCCACTTCGTGGGTGGGTTCTCGATACACAGGCACAGATCAGAAGGGAGATACTGTCCGTGCTCCTCGTTGAAGTCCTGCCTCACAATACGCTCCTCTGCCAAAAATGAGCAGTTCAGACGTAGTCTAACAACGGGTAGCGGGTCTATACTACCTTCGGTCATAGCGTCCAATTGCGCCATCATTCCCCGCACGATATTCTCCGCCGCCTCGCGGTACTGCCGTCGGCGGGCGATCTCGATGAGCAGCTTGTTGTACGATAACTGATAGGACGTGTACTTGTGGTGCAGCTCCTCGAGCGTCATCAGGTGGCCCTGGAGGTGCGACATCCGCTCGACACAGTCCGCCTGCATCGATGGCCGTGAGGTGTTAGGGAGTGGTACGGGGACGGGAGGGCTCGACGACGTTACCTGGACTTGGTCCTGATGTTGCAACATGTCTGTCATGACCTCGCCGAGCTCCTCGAGATCGTCCAGAGTGGATCGGTGCAGCGAGACGTGCTCCTGCGCCGCCGCCTTCGCCCTCTGCAACTGCTCGCTACGGCGCGCTCAGTCGCGGTATTCCATAGGCATAGTGGATAAATAGCAGACTCACTTCAGACGTTCGATCGAGGACACGTTATCCTCCAGTTCAGTGATAATAGCCGGTAATTCTTCCGTGTCCCGGTTCATCTCTACGCAGGCGAGGGTAAGAACATACGTGGCATGGCTACGGATGAGCACGTACCCTGGAGGTCCTCGTCGCTGAACGCCTCGCCCGCTTCATGGTCGTGCAGAGCCGCAGCCATCTGGTCGTAATGCGCGGCCAGGCTCTCCAGGTGGCCAGCCATATCCGTAGACACCTTCTCCTGCGCGAGGAGGACGCTTTCGATAGTCGGCGCGGTGTTTGCTCCGGGCATGCCTTCACGGATGGTTGTTATGTGGCCATTCAGGACGGTGGAGTAGTCGGCAGTCGTCGCAAGGACATCCTGCGGTTCAAGATGCGCGACGCTCCGTGAGATCAAGTCCCGAACCGCCGAGAGCTCGCAGACAGATGCGACACACCTCCAGGGCCAGCCTGTCGTTGTCCATCGTCTCCAATACCTCGTCGATCGCGCGTTCGTCCACAAAGTCGCGCAGGGTCTTCCATCTGCTCCAGTCCTCCCTCGGCCTCTTCTTCCTCGCGTGCGTACCGTTGGGCGCGAGACCATCATGGCTCCCCTGCGTCACCGGACGACGTTGGCCCTGGGCTTCCTCCTCGGACGAGTCCTGACTCCCAAAGGGCGAGGTGCCGGACGATGTTTCGTAGAAGTCTGGAGGCACGACCTGTTCGCCCAGGGACTCCAGAATCGCATCGAGCGCGTCGGAGCGTTGCGCTTTCTGTATATCCCACTCCTACGGCGGCACGCGGTCAGCGCACGGGCGGCCCAAGCATACAGCACACGCACCTTAGCCTGCCGCTCGACATCCGCGCGCCTCGCCTCGATCCTCCTCGCGACACTCGCCGCAAGCTGCCACAATCCATGAGCCGAGCGTCGACACCGCGCCCGCGACGCACCTTCAGCTGCTCCCGCACCGCGTTGCTGGTCCACTTCACCTTCGCGTCGAGCGCGAGGACGTCCACGGCGTGCCGGGCGGACTCGGTGGATATCGCGTGCGCCCGCGCGCACAGCGCTTGCCCGTGCTGCAGCGCCTTCTTCGACTGCAGGACGAGCGCGACGACGTGCGGCTGCTCGGGCGGCGGCGTGCGCTCCGCGCTCATGGTGCTCGATCACGGTGGGTGGCGGCAGTCGGGGAGGGGGATTGGCCCGGGGGGGAGAGGCATTTCCCCAGGATTGTCGCACGGTCTACCTATCTACTTTGTCCTTCCGGCCACGGTCTCTGCTGTATTGATAGCCTCTTCTCCCTCGCTCGTTGTATTCTAGCTGTTGATATATTACTAGACTTTGGCACATGTCTGCGCTATCCGTCCCCCGGCCTAGCACCACCTTATGTCTTGCTTGCGCATCCTCCCTGCCGCCGAAACCGACCAGCGACGCCGCGATATTCGTTACGCGATGCTGCAGGCGCCCCATATGCCCGACATGTACGGCGCAGAATCCCCGCCTTGCGAGGTACGACCCCTGCCTGGCCTGCCTGGGCGGAGCCGGCGCCGTCGGCGCCCACGGGGAAGCGGCCGGGAACGTCGATGCGGCGGTCAGGGATGCGGATGTGTTTGTGCTCGGGGATGACGAGGATGACGAGGATGGCCCGGGCTCTTCGCCATCTGCACCTGCAGAGGCGACGACGGCCCGCGACGAACAGCCCGACCATTCGTTACAGGAGTCCTCGGCTATGGACCCGACCGATGCCCCCACGAGGTCCATACCGGTACCATACAAGTACTGCATACAACCTAAAGACACGCTCGTTGGAATAGCGCTGAAGTTCCATGTCGACGTGTGTCGCAGCCCTGTCCCTTTCGTTGATATGGTACTGAACTTGGCCTGGTTGTAGGGGCGTCACCTCTGCCGCCTGAACAGCCTCCCGCCGAGCACCCTGTCCACGACCCCGCATTTACTGCACACCCGCCGGGTCCTCGCGCTGCCGCCGTCTGCCCGAGCGGAAGGCAAGGCCCACGTCTTTTCGGGAGACCTGCCCGCGGGCGATGCAGCCCGCGACAAACTGCGGCGGGAGAAAAGGGCACGTGAAGTCGCGCGCAGTCGCTTCCAGACGTTGACCAAAGAGGCAGACTGGGGCGTCGTCCAGGCGTACGTCGCCCTGGCCGACGGCGTGGAGGACGAGCTGGAGTACCAAGCAAAGGCGAAGGAAGGCGCCGCCCTGCGGTCGCCGTTGGCCGACATGAATGGTGCGAGCTCGAGCTTGGAGGTGAGGGCGGTCAGTCGGTATTTGGATGATGAGGAGTGGGAGGCTGGAGAGGCTCGCGATGGCCGAGGAGCATGCGTACCTCAATTCCCCTTTTTGGCGGCACAGGAAGGGAAGTCAGAAACGGCCAAGAGAACTGTATCCGGGCGATGGTGGACGATGAGAAGGAAGTGGTGAGACTAATACGACACACTGTTCGTTTGCTGCAGTGTTTCCTGAAATAAATGGATTGTATATGATTCCCGTTGACCTTGAAGCCGATGGTCAATTTGGTGTTGCAATTCTACTGTGGTGTCCTGCATTTGCCCTACTTTTGGCTCCTCGCCCGGGCGGTAAGTAGAAGCCTGTGCCCTGCTCTCGGCTCAATCTCACGACATTCTTCTCGCCAAAAGCGTCGTCATTGGCAATCTGAATACTTTTCAGGTGGCTTCGCGTTCGGATGCGCAACACTCGGAGGCGCTCAAGTGTGCGCAATCCAGAGCGTCTGTTGCTGTTTGAATTTAACCTTTTGTCATTCTACTATGTTCCTGAAAGAAGGCAATAAACGCATCCGACGCCGACATCCATACCCTGAGGCGCGGGACACAAGGCAGCTGCTCAATATGAGTGGCAGGGGCAGTCTCCGTGGGACTAGGTTCACTTGTGCGACTCCTTTCAGCGCGATCACGATGAAATCGGAAAAGCAAGTAAGAAGACTGCAGGTATACAAGTCACCCAGAGACTGGCGCGGGCTCGGCTTTCTAGGCCACCCTAGGCAAACGGATGTAGACCGATGGCTTCTGCGGTAGCGCTTCGGTGGATCGCGGAGGCGCTGGGCTTCGATGGGCGCGTTAATCTCGGACGTGGCCAATAGGAACGCGTGTCTGGCCGCGGAAGGGGTGACAGACGAAAAGGGCGCGACTGAATCTGACAAAGGGCACGTCGATCTGTGCGATTCAGCGCTGGTCTGTGGGGCGATCTCGGTGTCCTCGGAGTTGGGATCGGACGCGGGGATCGTGCCTTTACTTCATATCTGGCTTCTGCCTTTGCGTGACGCGTTCTTCCTTCAGCCTGCTGCGTCCGGCCCGCCACAGCGCAGCTCGCTGATCGTGAAGTGCCTGCCGCTTGGGCGACAGCCCTGCCGAGCTCTTCTTCTACATGGAACGCCAATAGCGAAGTCCGCCATGTACGCTATAAAACGGCCACCCGTCGTTACCGCCTTCACTCGCATCCCCTTCAATGCCCTCCAGAGAGCCCCCCAAGGTGTGTCTGATCCTGCGGAGACACCGCATGTCCTTACACGCCTTCCAGCACACCCAGATCCTCGTCGTGGGTGGTGGGCCTGCCGGCAGCTATGCTGCGGCCGCCCTTGCTCGCGAAGGCTTCCAAGTCGTGCTCATGGAGGCCTCTAAATTCCCGAGGTTCGCAATCGCTCGCACTCTGCGCCTTTCAGAGATTGAACCTGACGGCCGTCAGGTATCACGTTGGCGAGAGCCTCATACCATCCGTGCGGCACTACCTGAGGTTCATTGGTGCGGAGGAAAAGGTGGCGCAATACGGCTTTGCCCACAAGGTAAGGGGGGCCGCGATTCTGACTTCTCCATTCGCTCAGACGCCATCATGGATAGCCAGGATCCGCTATCAAATTCAACCAGTTCAATAGAGAAGGCTGTCAGTGCTCTTTGTATCCATTCTGATGCCCTCGCTTCTAACGCCAGGCACTCAGATACCGATTTTGTGGCTCTCGGTCATGATAACAGCGCCTGGAATGTGGTCCGTTCAAGTCATCTTCGTGGCATGTCTCTTCGCATTATTAATCTCCGCGCACCAGGTTCGATCGGAGTTTGATCAGTTGCTGCTCCAGCATGCGGCATCCTGCGGTGTCCAGGTCTTCGAACGTACTCGCGTCACGTCTCTCAGCTTCGCCCCGCCGAGTCCAGCCTTCCAGGGCGAGGACACGTTGGGGCGGCCGGTTTCCGCGACGTATGTCGTAGACGCGTCAGTGGACTCGGACAGTCCTTCATCACCTAGTTCCTGGTCCCAGTACTCTAGCGGGGAAGACGACGCGTCAACTATTACGTTCGACTATCTCATTGATGCCACTGGGCGCGCAGGGCTCATGTCCACGAGGTATTTGAGGAACCGCCGGATTAACGACAGTCTCAAGAATATTGCTGTGAGTCGAGCCTCTGGATGTCCGTAGTGCAGTCTTGATAAGTCCTCGCCACAGACTTGGGGTTACTGGAGAGATACCAAAATGTACGCAAAGGGTACCGCACGAGAGAATGCCCCCTGGTTTGAGGCTCTGACAGGTATGGTCAATTGATTCTCTCTTCCGCCATATTCTCAGTTCTTGGGATAGACGAGTCCGGTTGGGCTTGGTTCATTCCATTGCACAACGGTTTGACATCCGTAGGCGTCGTGATGAGCCAGAAATGTCACGCCTCGCGGTCTCGTGCAATGTCAGAAGCAACACCTCCCCCGACGCCGACGGTTCCTTCGTCGAATAACCCTATCTCACCAGAATCTGTGCGGACGAGACGAAACAACCGCTCCAGTACGTTCTCGATCTCGAATCCGAGATTGAGCTTCTTGTTCGGCAGTCGTGGCGAGAGTGCTCCACCTAGTCTACCCCCTCCGCACTCCGCACCTCCCACGATCTCCACTTTCCCGATGGGCGACGCACCTCCGTCTCCCGCGAGATCGGCGTCCAGCCTTCCCATAGACAGACAAGGCAGTCTGGTGAGTAGGTACCTAGACGCCTTGAAGTCTGCGCCGGGTGTCATGGACTTGATCGGCGACGGGGTCCTTGTCGGAACCGATCCTTACTCAAATCCGGACGTTGATGGGACGGCCGATAGTAATGGTGGTTTCGCAGAACCCTTACCGGGTATGGGGAAGACTCCGGTCAAGAGTACAAGTGACTGGAGTTATTCGGCTAGCTGCTATGCAGGAGCAGGTTGGAGAATCATTGGCGACGCGGGTGGTACGTATCGATCATTGACATCAATGTGCTTAATTGACGCGAGCACTCATTACCGCAGCATTCATCGATCCATTCTTCTCGAGTGGTATCCACCTCGCCTTTACTGGGGGATTATCTGCCGCCACCACCGTCGCTGCCTCGATCCGTGGCCAATGTACCGAGGCAGGAGCAGCAGAATGGCATAACCGCCGCGTCACAACGTCATACACCAGGTTGGTTTCTGCATATATGCCTAGTGGATGTATCACTGATGACGATGCTACGAAGGTTTCTCGTCGTCGTACTGTCCGCGTATAAGCAGTTTCGAGCGCAGTCCATCGACGCGCTGGCGGACGTGGGAGAGGCCAATTTTGACGATGCATTCGGATACCTGCGGCCCGGTTAGTGCTTTCATGCACATATTTCTCGTTGGTTATTCACGAAATCGTCTTAGTTATTCAAGGTGCGACGGAGATGGGACCACAAGTATCGGCATCCGAGCTGCAACGGGCATTTGACTTTTGCGTCAATCTGTTCAGCCCGACGACCCCCGAAGAACACAAGAAAGTCGCTGCCCTACTGGCGGGGAAGACGTCTACTGTCCAGGGTGTCCTTGACGTCACCAAGCCGCTCGTGGACGGTAAAACCTTGAAGGAGATTATGGAAGATTTGAATATCGAGTCAACAGCGCCCAGCCACGTTGACGGGCATGATCGTCGGAGCTCCTGTGACGAGGACGATGGCCAGGACGACTCTGCGCGGACGATCAAAATGGTCTTTGACAAGGTGAATGCCAGGCGAGTTATCCACTCGGACCATAGCGGGATCGGCGGGTTTGAGGAAGAGGCGCTCGGTGGGCTTGTGGCTCGTCTCGTGCAAGGGAATTTAGGGCTGGTACGGGCGTGATCAGGAAGGGCGGCACCGCTCCCCGGGACCTTTCTCCCACGTTTGTTTTCTTCTCCCTCGAGCTGGCATTGCGGGGAAGTGTTTTCATTTGTCCTTTATGTAGAAATATCTTCTTTGCTCTGGGGCTTGGGGTGTAAATTTTGTATCAGTACTCGTGTATGTACATGTAACACTAGACGGATCAGAGTCTATACTTGGGCGAACCGATAGTTGTGGCTCTGGGTGCTGTGTTGGTAAGGTTAGGGCTACCCATTTCGGTCAAACCAATTTCTTCCGTCTCCACATCGCCGACACCTGCAGTCCACGCCAATGTCCTCCAAACTTGCTACGGCCCTTAGGCAGCCCGGACTGAGGCGATCAGTCCACCCTTTCTGCTGCGGCCCATCAATAGCGCACTACTCCGCTACCGCCTCCCAAACAACGCCTACTCCGGAATCCGGTTCCACTTTCTCTCGTCCAACACGCCCCAACCCCGCCAGTTCGAAAACCACGCATTACCGCATCACTCTCCGGCGCTCTGCGATTGCCCTGGGGAAGGCCAAGCAGGCGACCCTAGTCACGCTCGGCCTGCACCGGCGCTTCCAGACGGTGTACCACCCGCACACGCCGGACATTGCAGGCAAGATCCTGGCGGTGAAGGAGCTGCTGGAGGTGCAGAACGTCGCGCCGGCGGAGGTGCGCACGAAGGAGGAGATGACGCGGGAGCGCAGGGCGACGCGGGGCTTCAGGGTTGTCGGGAGGAGGCTGGGCGTGGTGGGCGGGACGGCAGGTGCGGGGTGGTGGCGTGGCCTGTAGACCGCATGATGTAGGCGAGCTTTTTTCACCAGAGGGGGCTTGTTGGTGCGAGTGCTGATGGGTTTGCTGTCTTAGGTGGGTATGGGTGAGGGGCGGTTGACGTTGCTGATTCACGCTCGGAATCGTGTCCGCGTGGCTATTATTCTGTGTTCTTCCCTCCTTGAACGACTGCAATTACGGCGCGTTGTGCTACGTGGTTGTTGACTTCCTGCTTGCATGACTTTTCGTCGCAAAAGTCCGTCCGGCTTGCCCACGCAAGATCACCGTGCTTATCCCTATGTCTTACGGTTGGTTCTGCCTCGTCTCCTTTTCCTTGCCTGATCACTCCCGATCCAACGGATGTGTTTTGGCCGCTGGGGCAGATGTTCGGGCTAAAGGCTCAGACTGCGCCGTAACAACGGCTGCTCGGGTGACGCCAGCAGTACGGCGGTGGCACAGTGTTACATGTCATCTCTGCTTCCAGTGATTCATCTGTGATGCTGCCAGTGCGCCAGTCTCCCTTTTGCGAAACCGCTCGCGATGCGTGCTTTTCTGTGATCACGAGGTGCTTTCTCCCGCCCCCCCTTTTGTACTCAAGTGCAGGCCTACGCAGTTCGTGCCCGATGTCACTCCCGGAACGTCTGCGACGCTCTTGTTCTTGTCGTCGTCGATCCAAGGGTCCCGTTCTCAGCTGCCTCCCGAAAAGCTTATGTACGCCTCATCTCAGCTATACGCTAAGCGCCTCGATCTTCGGTCGATTTCCGTTTCTGACAGTCTGCTAAGGGAAGCTCTGTTGTGTGGTGCTTTACTGGCACGGCGAGGCAACGCTTGTGTTCCTGCGTATGCATCAATTTTCTGCTGGCAGGCAAGGCCGCCTAGAGCGCCTGCGGAACTGCCAAACACACTCATGTAACGCAGCCTCTGCTCGCGGTCGGCAAACTACGACTTGAATCGATTTATCCTAGCAGCACCGTCGAAAGATAGCAATGTACTACTACTGAAGACTTGCTGGCCATGAGAAGACATGATGCCGGTGCGGCACTTCCTATTCTCACTGTGGTCTCCCCGCCAGCCCTGTGCCTGTGCCGGTCAATACCAGCACATGGAGGAAACATTGTTCCGATTCTCCTAGGAGCATGTTCCGATAAAAATCGACAGTATTCCCGTATGCAATCATTGGTATAATTCTACTAACCAGAGTACCCCAAAAGAAACGCTAGACAAATGTAGTACAACGAGGCCTCTCAATGCTCGCACATATTGAATTGCGCTTCGTATACCTCCTCGTTCTGCGTGATCACAGCGTTCTGCCTCTCCTCCATGAGTTCTTTTCTCTCTTCTTTGGCTTCCTCCAGGGTAATGATGCCGCCCTTGCCTTCGGCATCAGGCTTCAGGTAGTCTGTCACCATCTCGAATAATTCCACCGGCAGGCTCTTCAGGGCCGGTGCGCGCTCAGTCTCACGCATATACCAGTCAGACTGCTGAGGCGGAACGACAGTAGTCGAGAGGATATTCTTTGTCGGATCTACAAGGAAGAAGCAAAGGATTTTGCGATGGCCGGGCTTTGAAGGGTCGACCAACTTGAACGACGACACGCGATGTTGCCAGATGTTGGGGAACGCGAGGCATTTGCCCTCCTTCGTCACGACCGAGCCCAACTCTTGATTCAACGGGCCGTCGCGCCCGTCTATGCCATACGCCGTCGCCAGGCCAATCCAATCGCTTTGTTCATATTGCATGTCCATGCCGTCGCACAGGGCAGTACGGAAGCCCAGCTTCGAGTCCGTGACATTGGCGCAATCGTAGTAGTAGATGCCGGTCGCGACAATCCGCTCGTTCTCCATACCTTCGACGTGCCAGGAGCCGCCAGCGTACTCCGGGTTCTCCGGGGTCAAAACGATATTAGCCATCTTGACGATGACTTGAATGGTCCGGTCCTTGAGGCTGAACTGTACCTTCTGCTCCGACCTAGGTGGGGTAAATGGGGGTGGATCGGGGATGACGGGCCTCCTCCGCAAGGTCCATTCCTCCTCAGCGTCGTAGAAAGCTTGCTTGCGATCCTCCCCGAAGTCCTCTTTTTTAGGCTCGGGAGTACGTCGGGGATCGTGATCGTACCAATGGTAAGGGTCCACTTTGATTGCCGGCTCCCTCGGGCTCAGAACGTCTGCCAGCACCCGTTCCCAGAGGAGCACAAACCGGCCTAGGATGGAGTTAATCGTAGAATACAGTCGCTTGAAGTGGTCCGGGTGCAGGTTATTGATGTAAGAGACGTTCCTGACCACCCCTTCCTCAGAGACGGTGAAGTCGGTAGGAAGCCACTGGTGCTGCTCGGACGTGCAATAAGAGTTTACTTTTCCCCGGACACGGTACATGGGGAAATCGTCTCTCATCAGCATGTACTCGTTTAAGGTTGGCACGTAGAGTTTGCCGGTCTCAAGATTCTTCACCAGTGACTTGCCGATGCGGAAGCAGTACAGAGAGGGGTGGATTAGGTCCAGCACCTGATTATTGCTGCCCGGATGCCAATCCTTCTCTTCATCCGGGACTGATTCAAGGGTGCGAGCACCCTCCAGGAGAGCAGCCGTCAGCTCGCCAGGGATCAGTTGGTACGACTGGTAAACATTGGGTATGTGGGTTGCCTGACGATGGCTGGTGTTATCAGCCTGGTAGGATGGTATTGGGCGACTGCTCACCTCAATTCCTGTCTCGCTGTCACGAACGTCTGCTAACCACTTGAGGAAGTCAAAGATGTAATTCAGCTGTGCCTTGGTGACCCTGGTCCGGGGCCAAAACTTCCTTCCGCTCGGTACCTTTGCATTATCGTCTCTCTCCTCAGGCTCGTCTTCATCACTCTCAGCTTCTTCAATACTGACCCCAGCATTCTCCCGGTCGACGTCCATCGGCACCTCCACTCCCGATTGTACTGGCGTTGCCTCGTCTTCGTCTTCGTCTTCGTCATCATCTTCGTCATCCTCCTCTTCGTCGTCTTCGCCAACAGGATCCCAAGGACGTCTCTTGCGCTGCGTCCAGAACTGCGCGATGAGCACCTTGTCTATCTGACGGAACTCTTTCCTCCATTTGCGCACAATTGTCGGGTCGTGCACCTTATTCCACCAGTTGGGCTTTTCGATAATCTTCCCAGCCAGGGCGCGCATGCGAAACTCGACGAGCGTCTCCAAGGCGGGATCCTCGTCGTACTTGATGTGAAATGGATCGGGGAATTTAACTTGCGACATCTTGGAAGCTGCTGAACGAGGAGGTCCGCAACCAGTTTATGCTGGAGCATGATCATCGGCGCTGCTCTTATACGCATTGGACTGATCTGAAAAGGGGTGTTGCCTGGACACGCCAGGTGCCTGCTGATCACCGACATACGCACCGCCTTCGGGGATGTCAGACAGAGAAAGCGGACGCGGGCCCGACGGCTACCAAATTAGGAAGATCCCGCCCTCGTGACTCACACGTCATGACTCCTCTATATGCCTGACTCGACGTTCACGAGACAGCCGACCTTAGGCAGGTTATGGAGGCCTCGGATGAGTGGATCATCGGCGCCGCGCTTCGGGAATCCCGACGCACTTTCAAATACCCACTAGTCATTACAGGTCATCGTTGACCAAACCCAATGTACTGTATGTCCCTTGGAATAGGAATATATCTGCACTTGAGCTCACTCCGCTCAGCGTAAGGCGGCGTGACATGCTGCATCGGACGTACAACCATTTCTTGGGGCAGGACGCATGTAAACCTGAGGCGGAATTCCTGATGTCGCGATCGAGGATGCATTCTCGCAAATACAATGATAAGCATGCAAGATGCTTCCAGGAAATACCCTCTTGAACCAAAACGTATCGTCGATACGGCCTTCTATGACAAGTGTTTCCGCTTCGGGCTTTATGCTGTCCAGGAAGTCTTTCTTCGTCTTGGTCGGCATTCACGCCAAGACGCGGGCGCGATCGGCTTTGCAGACAGAGTTGGTACCAAATATCGACGCCAGTCCACTTCGCCAGAGGCGGCACATAATTCCAATCTGGGGATGAGCACGTACCCCTGCAAAGTACTTGCCTCTCCTTGGTCCAGGGCGTAGCAAGGGACCAACGGTTCTTGCCTTCGCCCAAGAGTCCGCTGGCCTTGCGGTGCCACGCTACTTGGATGAGGGCGGGTATGTGGATTGAGCGCGAGATGCAGGTGCCGTTCTCGGACAAGGGGCCAGTGACGCGCCCGAAGATGGCCGGCGGGACTACGATGTGCACGCGTATCCTGGTATATATCGATCAGCGGAGCCTGGAGGCTGGAGTGGAAAGGGGCGCTGATACGAACCTTCCTTGCTGGCTCACGATAGCCATGTCCACGTTTCTGCGCGGGGTTCCTGGCTTCAACCTTGGGGATGTCTAGGTCTGATCAAACATCGTCGCTAGCAACCTTTCCTTGTGCGTTATCGAGTATGATGGCTATGATGGGTGTAAGTGGGAGTACCTGTTGCAGGAACCTATACGTCTCATACCTGAACCAGACTGGCCGAGAAGAAAGTCAGGTCACCCAAAGGCATTAGGATGGAGTATACAGCGTTCCACGTACAGTGTGAATGAGGATCGGTTGCTTTCTTGTTTCGGCGTGCCTTTGCTTTGAGCCGCTGAAGAATGGCGGTCGCAGCTGGGAGATCATCACACTCGGCCCATGATCAGCCGGCATTCAATTTTTGAAATGCAATAAGTCTTACGATATCGAGAACAGACGTTCGCGGTGGACGCCGCGGCCTCGAGCTTGTCCAAGTCGGAGTAGGGGCCGATCACAGTCATCCCGTCGAAGTTTTTGAGCAGGTTCGCTTTCTCAACGCTGCGCAATCGCGCAGTGATGTTGAGTGACTGCCTCTCTGGATAAGCGAGCAAACGCTAGGAAACAGATCCTCCAAGGTAGCCTAGGAAAGTGCGTCAGAAATACGATCCAGACTGTGTATTTCATGCTAGGAGCTTACCAGTCGCACCAGTAACAAAGATGAGTCTTGGTTTCCATTTTTCAGAGTTCGAATACAGGTCTCGATGAACTTGGGGATGTTTTGAAAGATTATGTTGACGTTGTCCGGAGATGATGTTATAGCTTTTCTATGAGCAGACTGCTGAATTAACATTTGGATTCAACTACGAGTTGATCCTAATATATTCACTGCTCATGACCATCAATCATCCGTCGCGAGGACCTGTGAAGGAATTGAAATTCAGGCCTTCTTTCAGTACGCATCAGCCCGTATTCGCCATCCGAGTCGACGCTGGTGCGTTTACTATGCGAGTACGCCGTACATGACCGAGGTCGTCGACGTGGGAGGTTAGAATAATAGCGCGCCACTTACAAACGGCGAGTACTGTCGATATGCGCATGAAGAGGGATGGACTGATGCAGCACGACACTCATTCCCTTAGTTAGTACGAAAGCTGTGCAACCCACGTGGGTTGCGAGATCATCCGACTCATCAACAACGATTGAGTGGGATCCTTTGCCAAAGACATGAGCGATTCCAGTCCAGAAGTCACAGTCCTTTACTTCGCCGGCGCATCCACCGCGACAGGGACTTCGTCCGAGCGAGTTCGACTCTCTTCTCCTGGTCCCCAGCCTTTATCGTCCCTCTCCAGTTTGCTCCTTTCCTTACATCCAGGAGCCGGGCTTGAACACGTATTGCGAACGTGCCAGTGGAGTGTTGATGCCGAGATGGTGGAGGATCCTGACAGCGTCCTCTTGAAAGGAGGGGAGGAGGTGGCTGTGATCCCACCCGTCTCTGGTGGCTGAGGAAGAGGTGCTTCGCGTGGCGGGAGGAGCTCGCTAGACTTGTACGTATTTGCTACATGATCTTGCTTAAGTCTTATTGTTTCCGTTAAATGGGATAGCAGTCGTTCAATGTTGTGACTCGCAACACATATTGCTCACATACAGATCAACTGCACAACGGGAGAGAAGACGAGCAGCTGTATTTTTACAAGTGCGCGTAGATTGGTGCTCTGCAATACAACAAGGCATGTACGTAGATCATAATTCGTGGAATGGTCCGGCCATCCTCTTGGAATCGCTGAATCTTGCTAAATGGACAAATGTACATGACGCGAAGGAATCCATACGTGTAGGCTACCCCTCACAACCCGTGTATCGCTGCATCTGTGGCATCGCATGGCGCGCATCTTGTGACGGTGCTCATCAGCGTGGGTCCGCGAACGGTACGAGTCACTGTCTCCTTGACGGATGTCGTGACGGCTGGAAGGGTAACAGTCTCCGTCTGTGTTCTGGTTGCCACTGTGATCGTAGCAGTGACGGTCGACGCAGGTCTGGGACTGCATGAGCCGGTGACAGTGATAGTCGCAGTAGGATCGCACGACGGCGTATGCTCTGGCGTCTCCGTCACCGTGACTGTCGCAACTCTGGGCGTCACGGTCTCGACCACCGTGATGGTAGGACGCGTAAGAACTGTCTTTTCTGTTTCCGTGAGAGTGAGAGTCTCCAGAGACGGAGGGTGGGTAGGGATGGACGTTTCGTTGAGGGGTACGGGCATCGGGAGGGTGGGTGGTGGATAGACGGCTGTGTCGGTAAGGGATGGTGGTGGGAGCATCGGACTCTGCGATTCGGGTGCTGACGGGGGCGTAACGGCTGACTCCGGCGCATCTGGAAAGCGTGGCGGCAGGAGTGTAGGAGTGTCCATATCCGTGAATGACGGAGGGATGAGGGTAGAGATCTCCGGGATGCCAGGCGTAGGCGTATCTGAGAGACCCGGGGTAGGCAAAAGGGCAAGAGTAGTGTCTCCCATGGACGGAGGCGTGAGGGTAGAGATCTCCGGGATGCCAGGCGTAGGCGTATCTGGGAGACCCGGGGTAGGCAAGATGGGAAGGATAGTGTCTCCTATGGACGGAGGGGAGAGGGTAGAGATCTCCGGGATGCCAGGCGCAGGCGTATCTGGGGTAGGCAAAAGGGCAAGAGTAGTGTCTCCCATGGACGGAGGGGAGAGGGTAGAGATCTCCGGGATGCCAGGCGCAGGCGTATCTGGGAGACCCGGGGTAGGCAAGATGGGAAGAATAGTGTCTCCCATGGACGGAGGGGTGAGGGTAGAAACACGCGAGTCGGAAGATAGTGGCGTATCTGAGAATGCAGGAGGGGATAGTAGGGCCGTGCTCGTTTGTGGCACTGATGGGGGTGTGAGGGTGGAGATATCTGAAATGGGGGACGACCGCTCGTCTGGATATTTTGGAGATGATTCCCCTGCAGGGGTCGTTTCTGAGACGGTAAGGGTAGAGACTTGGGGGGACGAAGGCGATGCTGCGTCTGGGAAGGCCGGAGGCGGTAATACAGAAATGCTCGCTTCAGACGCAGAGGAGGGGATAAAGGTAGAACTCTCTGAGGGTAGTGACGGCATACCCAGGATGCCCGGCGGTGATAATATAGCTGTGGTCGCCTCTGATACGGACGGAGGGAAGAGTGTGGGAGTGCCAAGGGTGACAGAGGAAGATGTATCTGGGAAGCCAGGAGGCAGTAAGATTGCAGGAGTCGTTGTCTCTGATGCAGACTGAGGGGGGAGGATGGGGATAAGAGACGATTCCGCATCTTGCAATTCGGGAGTCGGTAATACGGCAGTGCTCGTCTCTGGCACAGAGGGAGGGGTGAGGGTAGAGACGTCGGGGAAGGTGGGGGTGATGGGCGACTGCGCATCTGGGAAACCTGGAGGTGGCAAGACTGAAAGAGTTGTTGTCTCTGATATGGATGGAGACTCGAGCGTAGGAGTTCCTAGGAAGGCAGACGACGTTGCATTTGGGAGACTCGGGGGAGATAATACTCCAGCAGGCGTTTCTGGAACAGACGGAGGGGGGAGGGTGGAAATTCTTGGGACGACAGTGGAAGCTGTGTCTGGGAATTCCGAAGGGAGCGATACAGACGTGGCTGCTTCTCTCACGGACGGAGGGGTGAGGGTAGAAATGTCGGGTATGGCGGGCGATGGAGTATCTGGGAATACGGGAGGGGGTAACACTGCATTGGCGTCTTCAACCTTGGCTACGACCGGCGGAAGATGTGGTGGGACCATGCCGGGGGTTTCGAACACCGGGGGCGGCACCACTGAAGGAATAGGTGGGCCCACAGTAGTGTTGTGCTCGGTACCTAGCATAGGCAGCTGCGGTACATAGGCCGTAGGCTGCGCGGGTGGTAGCAGCGTCGTCGTCCCAGGATATAAGCATGGTGGCGTTATCGGTGTAGATACTTCCCCGGGGCGCAAAGACGTCAGCCGAGGCTCTATCCGAGTATGCGTTTCATTGCATTCCGGAGCAAAGACGGTCATTGTCTCGCGCGCCACGGTCCATTCTTTTCCGCACGGCGCGTACAGTGTCGTCGGATTGAAAGAGGTCATAGATATGGACTTGCCGTCCGTAGCGGTTTGCGTCATGGAGGTCGTACCGTTGACCAAGACAGACTGAAGACAGTCCGTAGGATGTGCCGATGCTGCTGGCAAAAGACGGGCCCGCGAGAAAAGCACGATGGCTGTTGCTCTCCAAGTAAGCTGCCGCATCGTAGCGTCCGCTAAGCGTAGATGCGGTCCTCCCAGCTGGAAATTTATATGACCTGACCTACAACTAAAGAGGAGGTATAAGACATTCAAAATCTGGCGCTGGCCATGGCCCCGCGAGATCTGCAACCCGAACAACAGGCCGGCATTGTTACCTGCAAGATCACGATTCATCTCGGACGCCACGAACGTCTGAGAATAACGAGACACAAGTTAGTCAGCCGCAAGACCCCTTGTCGTCGGACATACACATGTCAGAGGCTCTACTGAGTTATCACAGGAACGAAGCAGGACCGCGGATGTTCGGGATCGTCTGTTAAAGTTTCATATCATTTCCGCCATTTTAGCAGGACTGCGAGGGGAACCGGAGGAAGACTTCAGCCAAAGGCAGTGATTCCAGTAGACAGGCGCTGCGCACACATCTGTCTGAATCAACATACTTGCAAGGAATGAAATGCGTGCATCTGGTCAGTGCTGTGGTGTCTTGAATGACCGAGCCGATCCGATGCTCCGAGTCCTTTGAATACTTTGATTAGTGCTACATCGAACGCTGATTAGATGACGAGAGATTCCCCTTTGGCTGCTGCTTATGCCTTTGAAGTGTAATTGCGTATGGGAAGCGGTCGAATCCCGAGCAGAGCTTACAACGAGAGTGTTCAAGAGCACTGAGCAGGGCCTCTATGAAGACCCGTTGCTCGCCTACTTGGTCGAATCAAGGAGATGTAGTCTAGCGCTGTACTTACATGTCTAGCGACGTCTGGTGGTGATCGTGGGATCCGGATCACATATGTTGGCATCGACAAGCCTCGTGCTGAGTGGGCTCCGAGTCAAAGGTAGAAAGCGCTACATGTCAGGATTCTCTGATTTTTAACTCCGATACGAACAGGCTGGTACCGCCTGGCAATCGAACCCTCTTCTGACAGGATGTGGAGGGTTGTACTTGGTGCGTATTCCACGCAATCCCGCGATCGAGTTCTTGTCTTCACGGAGTCGACATCCATTCATTTCATGTACTGGAGCTGTGATATCCCCTGCCACTTCGGCGCGCTTGAGTACATGTTACTGTCAATGAGGCGAGATAGGCATGCACGAGCTTGTCGCGCGGAAACAAACTCTGGTAGATCCTCCGCGGCGGTGAGCCGTTCAAACAACCCCAGAGGATACTCTACACTAGTACCGAAGGACGAAATAGCCTTTGACTTAGCAACATGCAACGTCAATCCGAGGGATCCGAGCGAGCCCGCGCGGCCAGACCATCCGAGTCTTGTTGCTCTCCGACCGGTCGTCGTCGTTGGAAATACTTCCAGAAGAAAAACTTGAACGTCGTTACCGACGTCGATACCAAGCACCTACATGAAGTGGATGACCTTACATCCACTTTCGAAGGACCCCTTCTAGAGAGCCAGTCTGAAGTGGCCCTCAGTAAAGCGCCCGCGGATGCTGCCCTCATGACGCTTCATGTCTTCCGAGCTCTGGGCCCTCCCTCCTGGCATTTTAGCCGCGGCGCATCAACTGGTAGATTGCTATATCGTAGATGCATAGGGGAACATCTGTAAACGCTCTCTTTCGCTTGAGCTTCCTACGCACAGACGACCTGAGGCGAAGATCGGAATCTTGCGCTATCCTCACGCTGGATCAGTGCAAATACTTAACTGCAAGAGTACTCGGCGAAATGCGACGGCTTTGACGACGATCGTCAGCATGCCCCAGAATTCCCCGTCTCTCCTTCCGATATGACATCGAGGACGCTGCATTGGTTGCCCTGGTGTCGTGGATCATGCGAACTTCAGGTATGCGAGGTGGCTAGGATACGTGCTAAATGCTGAGTCGCTCACTTAGCTCGCCATCCTAAGTTACACAATTATGGTGAGCGAACAGTCGGTGATCAAAGTTTTTCGTCGGCTTTTGGCTATTCTCTGTCGTCTACTTCGGTACTCAAAAGAATTATTTGCATCCGCGAGTGTTAGTGTGACCACGAAGAAGCTTCAAGGCTGTAAGGTGGGCGCCACCGAGTGGCGCCGAGTTTGGACGTGTTTGGTTACTGAGTGATAGATGGACGGATTGGGCAGGCGGATCGTTAGACAACAACTACCTCTGAATCTGCTTAGCTCAATTACCTATCTTGTATCTCTCGCAATAAGACGAGGTTCCGTTTATTGGTGTGTGTGTGATACAAGCTAACTGTACTGACTACGGAGATTTTACACTTTTTTAAACGCTCACCGCGTTCAAAAAACTACTGTTTGTTCGCGACTTATCGCATAGGTACACAGATACCATCTATTACTCAAAAAATCGAACAAAAACAATACTCTATGGATTCGAACTCATTCCCAGACCCGCCGACATTCATCGACGGCCGAGCGGCGCGATTACCGTTCCGCCCTGCATCGACCCCAGCACGATTCATGCCAGCAAGGCCGAATCGGCGAGGCGCATCCGGCGTTTGGCCAGCTAGCCGTATAGAGGAAGCTGCAGACCGAACCGACAGGATCATCCATCAACTGTCGATGCAGGCACTGACCTCGAATTCCTACGAGGAGATTTCGGTGATCGTCGAACAACTGGAAGAGGAGTTGGACTGGTTTCGGGATACAGTTCGAACTGAGGCTGCAAGTAGGAATCGGGAGATTAATATGGACGAAGGGGACCGTGTACGACGGACTATGCATAAAGGTGCGGAAGCCATTAACTCGCTCACGGCTAACCTCGATCGTATGGAGGCTCGACGTGTAAAACGCGAGCTCGAGACGAGGTCCCCGACTGCTAGACACGCTACGACGCATCCGCTGGGAGAACGACCTGCCACCCCACGTCCGTCGCACGAGTCGAACCCGTCATCGCGGGCTATTCCTAGTCCACCCGATATTCGCCCCAACGTTCAACATGACGTTGGCGCGCAGATCGACCCGGTGCAGATGCCTATTGCGGAGCCGGCTCCCATACCAATAGCAGCTCGACAGCCGCCACTCGGACTGCCAGGACTACCGCATCCCCCGCCAACCGGGGACTATCGCATGGAGCGTATCCACCCGTACACGAGCGCTCTTTGGAGAAATGCTGGGTTCGTTCGGTATTTCCCTATGACTGGACAAACTGGCGCAGAGAACGCCAACGCTGCTCAGGATCATAGTACTACGGCGAGGACAGGAGGAGCCGCCCCGGCAGATGAGCAAGGCTCGCGCCGAGGAGCAGAGCCCCCGCCCGCTCCAGTAAATACACCAATGGACCAAATCCCAACTCAACGAAGTGGGATTGGCCATCTGGGTCCGGCAGAATGGACGCAATGCATTGGCGATACGGGCATGGTATCGGACTGGCAAACAGATCCTGTTATTCAGCGATCCATTGGTAAACTGTTTGCTCCCCGTCAGCCGAATGAAGATCAGGCTACGTTTGATGGTAGGGTGGCGGCCGTACAACGGCTGATCAACCCTCCCAGTCAGCCAACACCCCGAAATCGACAGCGTGACCAGAGCCAGCATAGAGTGCGGCCCGACGAATTCACTGTCGATTACGACGCTGCTCAGAATGGACGGAACGTAGGATTGA